AAAATACAACAATTAGCCAGTCTCATAACCTGGTCTCTAAATAAATAAATAGATACAATACAAAAAACACGTGTTGAGGGCACATCTTGGTCTGAGTGAGTCACCTGGAGAGGTGTGCTTGGGAGCCATCCAGGTAGCAGCTTTGGGGCCTTCTGGGATCACTCAGATGCTCCCACCCCTTCTCTGAAAACCATGGAGGCTCAGGGCAGTGCCTGGCACGGGGACCTGGAGAGTTCCAGGGGACGGAGGCTCTGTCCCCTGTGGTGCCCTCAGGGGTTTGGGGAAGAGCAACATACCTAGGAAGCCAGATACTCTTCTTCTTTTCTTATTTTGGAAACTTGAAAATCCATTAAAAGTAACCAATTTCGGTATTCTTTTTTGTTTGTTTTTGTTCTTAGGATCAGAGGTTTAACAGGCAAAAGAAAGAGAAAGAAAGGAAAACAGCTCTCTCTCTAGTGAGAGAGAGGGGACTTTTGAGAGGAAAAGCATTTTTTGTTGTTTTTTGATTTTGATTTTGTTTTAGAGACGGGGTCTTGCTCTGTTCCCCAGGCTGTAGTGAGTGGCACGATCCTAGTTCACTGCAGCCTTGAGCTTAAGGGATCCTCCCTCCTCAGCTTCCCAGAAGCACTGGGATTACAGGTGTGAGCCACTGTGACTGACCCTATTAGATTATTAGATTAGAATGATTGTAACAGAGTCATTCAGGAAGCAAGTATAGGAAGGAAAAAAAAAAGGCAACACAAGTTCATTGTAGAAAATGCAGAAAAGCAAAAAGGAAATATAAATCACTTGACTTTATCCTCCAGAAATGATAATAGCATCCTTTCTCTAGGCCCAAAACACATTGTTTCACCAAAATAAGAATTTAATAATAGTTTTTTTTTTTTTTTTTTTTTTTGAGATGGATCTGTCGCCCAGGCTGGAGGGCAGTGGCACGATCTCTGCTCACTGCAAGCTCCGCCTCCCGGGTTCACGCCGTTCTCCTATGTCAGCCTCCTGAGTAGCTGGGACTACAGGCAGGCACCTGCCACCACACCCAGCTAACTTTTTTGTATTTTTTTTTTTTTAGTAGAGACGGGGTTTCACTGTGCTAGCCAGGATGATCGTGATCTCCTGACCTCGTGATCCACCGGCCTTGGCTTCCCAAAGTGCTGGGATGACGACAGGCGTGAGCCACCGTGCCTGGCCATTTTTTTTTTTTTCCCCTGAGACAGGGTCTTGTTCTGTTGTCCAGGCTAGAATGCAGTGGTGCCATCATAGCTCACTGCAGCCTCATACTTCTGGGCTCAAGCCATCCTCTCATCTCACCTTCCTGAGTAGCTGGGACTACAGGTGCGCACCACCATGCCCAGTTAATTTTTAAATTTTTTGTAGAGATGGGGTTTCACCATGTTGCCCAGGCTGATCTCAAACTCCTGGGCTAAAGCAGTCCTCCTGCCTCGGCCTCCAGAAGTGCTGGAATTATAAGCATAAGCCACCTAACATGGTCTAACAGTGTTTTATGACTTTGTATTTTTGGGCCGTTCAGCAAATATTTTCAGAGAAGTTACTGCCCTTTTTTTTTTTTTTTTTTTTTTGAGACGGAGTTTTGCTCTTGTTGCCCAGGCTGAAGTGCAATGGCGCGACCTTGGCTCACCACAGCCTCTGCCTCCCGGGTTCAAGCGATTTTCTTGCCTCAGCCTCCCTACTAGCTGGGAATACAGGCTCCTGCCACCATGCCTGGCTAATTTTTGTATTTTTAGTGGAAACAAGGTTTCACCATGTTGGTCAGGCTGGTATCGAACTCCTGACCTCAAGTGATTTGCCTGTGTCAGCCTCCCAAAGTGTTGGTATTACAGGCGTGAGCCACCTCACCCAGCCTGACTTGTTTTACTGAGCAGATGTCTTTAAGGTTCATGTTGGAGCAAGTGTCAGAATTCCCTTTTTTAGGCTTTTTTCATTGTATGTCTATTTATTGATGGGCACTTGGTTTGCATCGTCTTTTGGCTGTTGTACATAATGCAACTATGAACATGGGTGCACAAATATTTCTTTTTTTTTTTTTTGAGACGGAGTCTCACTCTGTCGCCCGGGGTTGGAGTGCAGTGGCCTGATCTCAGCTCACTGCAAGCTCCCAGATTCGCGCCATTCTCCTGCCTCAGCCTCCCGAGTAGCTGGGACTACAGGCGCCCGCCACCTCGCCCGGCTAGTTTTTTGTATTTTTTAGTAGAGACGGGGTTTCACCGTGTTAGCCAGGATGGTCTCGATCTGCTGACCTCGTGATCCACCCGTCTTGGCCTCCCAAAGTGCTGGGATTACAGGCTTGAGCCACCGCGCCCGGCCATCAAATATTTCTTTGAGTTGCCGCTTTTAGTGTGTTTGGGTGTATACCCAGATGTGGATCGCTCAATAGTGTGGTGCTATTTTACAGTTCTGGAGGAACCGCCAAACTTATGCCTCTGCTGCACCATTTCACATTCCCACCAGCAGTGCACAGGACTCCAGTTAATCCACACCCTTGCCAACAGCCAACATCTTTTTTTTTCTTTTTTTTTTGATGGAGTCTTGCTCTGCCGCCCAGGCTGGAGTGCAGTGGTGTGATCTCAGCTCACTGCAGTCTCCGCCTCCCAGGTTCAGGTGGCTCTCCCACCTCAGCCTCCTGACTAGCTGGAATTACAGGCGCCTGCCACCACACCCAGCTAATTTTTGTATTTTTAGTAGAGATGGGGTTGCACCATGTTGGCTAGGCTGGTCTCGAACTCCTGATCTCGTGATCCGCCCGCCTCAGCCTCCCAAAGTGCTGGGATAACAGGTGTGAGCCACTGTGCCCGGCCTCATTCTGATTTAAAATCAACTTTATTGAGGTATAATTCTATTGAGGTATAATTTACATATAATAAAATGCATATATTTTAAAGATACAGTGCACAAAAGTTGACAGGTGTATACATCTGATTAAACCTCACCCCAGATAAGATCTAGAACATTCCAACACCACAGAAAGTTCCTTCTTGTCTGCAATATAGCTCTACCCTTTGCCCCAGGCAATCACTGATCCAGTTTCTATCATCATAGGTTAGTTTTGTGTCTGTTTTGAAATTTTATATAAATGGAACCATATGGTATATATGTTTTTGTATCGGATTTTTTTTTTCCTTGCTCAGTTTAATGTTTCTCTAAATCCGACTCATGATTTAGAGCAAGACTCTGTACCACACAGATCTGATCAGAGTCATACCTGTTACAAACTAGCCAGGTAAGCCGAGCATGGTGGCTCATGCCTATAATCCCCGCACTTTGAGAGGCTGAGGCAGGTGGATCACCTGAGGTCAGGAGTTTGAGACCAGCCTGACCAACATGGAGAAACCCTGTCTCTAGTAAAAATATAAAATTAGCCGGGCGTGGTGGCATATGCCTGTAATCCCAGCTACTCAGGTGGCTGAGGCAAGAGAATTGCTTGAACCTGGGAGGCAGAGATTGCTGTGAGCTGAGATCACACCATTGCAACTAGCAAAACTCCATCTCAAACAAAACGAAACAAAAACTAGCCAAATAACAATCCCCCCCCAGAATTGTTACTTAAGTTCCAATTCTGTTTCTTCATCTGTAAGATGGGAGTAGTGAGAATATATTGAAGGCTGTTAGCCAAAGGGCTGATTTTTCTCTCTGAAATTGCAGGAATGTGAGTCCAATTGCACTTGCAAATCAAGAGTGGACCTGTTAAATCAGCCGGGTGTGGTGGCACACGCCTGTAATCCCAGCTACTCGGGAGGCTAAGGCAGGAGAATCACATGAACCCAGGAGGCAGAGGTTGCAGTGAGCCAAGATCATGCCACTGCACTCCAGCCTGAGCAGCAGAGTGAGACTGTCTCAAAAAAAATAAACAAATAATGGGCCAAGTTATAACCTGCCCTCTCTCTCCCCAGCCACCCAACTAGAGAGATTATCATATACCAAAGATGCTAGCGAAACCCACACCACTGCAGCTTAAGATAGTGTAGGACTAGTGCCAACTCAGGGCATATGGCCTCAGCAGAAACAATGAAGAAAACTTAAAAACCCGACTTCAAGTGAGGAGGTTTGGAATTTGGAATCTTGAAGCTGTCATTGTCATGTGACTATTTTAAATGGTAGCTTCTAATTGCCTCTCCCTCTTTGAGCTGTCCACATCTGGGAGACTGTGACCTGCCAGTGAAGTGTGGGTAGTGGCAATGTGTGGATGAGCTCGGTTGTGCATGCAGCCTGGGCCTGCTGAACACTTAAGGGTCGGGGGTTCTCAGGGAATCCCTGAGAGCTCAAAGGATGACCTGAGGGGTCTGGTGGCATGTGTGGAAGGGGCCAGGCCTTCCTGTCCAGAGGGTTGATTGGCTGTGGCAGCCTGATGGGACAATAGGAGAGGCCCTGCAGATCCCTCCAGCAGACCTGTGCAGGATTCCTCCTGGGGAGCACCAAGTTAATGCCCCAGCAGTGACTAGTGAAGGCCAGCACTCCCTAGGAGGGGCTGCCCCTGTGTGCCAGCTCTGCCTGGGCCTTGGGCAGCTGGCCCAGGAGTGATGTGGTGGTACTGTTCTCTGGATGCACAGGGCGTAGTCTAGTCTATGGACATCCCCAATATCCCGAAATTCGTTCCTCCCAGGAGGAATGCTGGGCCCTTTTTAGCTTCTAGTTGGTGCTAAGAATGATTTTAAAATAACAGAACTGTCTGGGCACAGTGGCTCAGGCCTGTAGTCTCAGCACTTTGGGAGACCCGAGGTGGGAGGATTACTTGAGCCCAGGAGTTCAAGACCAGCCTGGACAACAAAGCAACACCCTGTCTCTATAAGAAATTTTAAAGAAATTAGCTGGGTGTGGTGTTGCACACCTGTAGTCCCAACTACTTGGGAAGTTGAGGTGGGAGGATCACTTGAGCCTGGAAGATCAAGCTGTGATCATGCCACTGCACTCCAGCCTGGGCAAGCGAGCAAGACCCTGTCTCAAAAATAATAACAGAACTGTGTGAAATGCCCTGGTTCATCCCCCAGGCTCCTTGCCAGAGGCCTCCACTCACTCCAGACCACTGCAGTCCATTGCTGTCAGCTGTCAACGAAGGATGCGAATGCTGGCCGCTTCCTGCGGACTTCGTGTCACCCAGAGGTAAGCCCATGGCCTCCTCTTAGGTGGGTGCCTTCAACACATACTGAGGAGGATACATGGATTTTTCTCTGTAGATGAAAGAATGGAATTGTGATTATGGGGTTTTTTTTTTTCAAGTCCTTATCTCTTAGAAAAATACAGATGGAATGTGATCGCCTGTGTGTCTGGGATTTGCTACAAAAGCAAGAGGAAGCAGGAGGTTGAGATGAAGCAAGATTGGCCATGAGTTGTTGATTGATGAGTCTAGGTACATGGAAATATGGAAGTGTGTTATACAGTTCAGTCTACTTTGTTTTTTCCTTTTTTTCTTTATGTTCATCTTCAATGTGACAGTAAGTTCTGCCTGCTTTTGCACATTTACATTTTATACAAGTTAGAAAGCAACTGAGCGGGCCTTTAGGATCTGACCAACTTGAGGTTCAGCTCTAGCACCAACATTCCTGTGAGACCTTAGACAAGAAGGAGCCTGTGTTCCTTAGTCTGTGAAATGGGGCTAATCACAGCTGCCTCAATGATTGCTGGGATAGTTTTTCATAAACGAATGCACGAAAAGCCCTTAGCTTAGTATCTGACACCTCATGAGTGCTAGTTACTCATGTTCTGAATGGGAATCTGGCCAGTTGACCCTGGCTGACCATTTGGGACAGGGAGGGGCACGTAAGGAGGAGTCTGGGGGTCCACCTCTCAGATCAGGGGGCACACATGCGGCTTCTGCTTTTGTTTTTTTTGTTTATTTGTTTGTTTTTTTTTTGAGGTGGAGTTTTGCTGTTGTTGCCCAGGCTGCAGTTCAGTGGCACCATCTTGGCCCACCGCAACCTCCGCCTCCTGGGTTCAAGTGATTTTCCTGCCTCAGCCTCCTGAGTAGCTGGGATTATAGGCATGTGCACCACGCCTGGCTAATTTTGTATTTTTAGTAGAGACGGGGTTTCTCCATGTTGGTCAGGCTGGTCTCGATCTCCTGACCTCAGGTGATCTGCCTGCCTCAGCCTTCCAAAGTGCTGGGATTACAGATTACAGGCATGAGCCACCGCACCCAGTCTTTTGTTTTGTTTTTAAGACCCCTGTAGACACAGAGGCTTCTACCTTTGTTTAAAGCAATCTTGGCTCCAGTTACATCTTTGGTTGGTTTGGACCTTATTTGGCAACAGTTTGAAGCTATAATCAGCAGTCAGATTCCTGGATTTGCTTCTGCTAAAATACCGTATGTGAAGCATTTCTTTAGTTATTCATTTTTTAATGTTTTCTTTTGAAATAATTATAGATTCACAGGCAGTTGCAAAAAGTGTACCCTAAGGTACTTTGTACCTTCACCCAGTTTCCCTTAATGGTAAGAGTAACACATACTTTTTTTTTTTGTTTGAGACGAGGTCTTGCTCTGTCACCCAGGCTGGAGCGCAGTGGCGTGGTCACAGCTCACTGCAGCCTAGAACTCCTGGGCTCACATGATCTCCTACCTGAGCCTCTTGGGTAGCTGGGACTACAGGCATGCACCAGCATTCCAGCTAATAATACATCTTTGTATGTCTATAGTACAATCAGTAAAGTGACATTGGCATAATTCATGGAGCTTATTCAGACTTCACTAGTTCTGTAGGCACTCGTGTGTGTTCAGTTCTTTGCACTTTTAACACACGTGTAGATCCATGTAAGCACCCCATAATCAAGATGCAGAGCTGTTCGTCATCACCCAGGTGCTCCCTTGAGGGCAGCATTTATTTTCTAGGACAGATGTATTTTTATCCCCTGATTTAAAAGAGAAGGAAATGCAGAAGAATGTTGGGAAAGATGTTTGCTACTTGTTCTCAGTGATTTATTTTACTTTGTGCTTTCTTGTTTGAGTTTTGTTTTTATAATGAACATGTGTCAGTTAAACAAAAGCAACAGAGCTTTTTTTTTTTTTTTTCATTGCTTGAAACCCATCACCCAGATGCACCACTATTGATGTTGTGGCAAACACAGTTCCAGACTGCTTTCTAGGTTGTTCTCCTGCCTTTCTGACCTTCTCCCTACTCTCAGAAGACATTCCCTGGAGGCAGTGCTGCATGGCCTGCTCCCATGGTGGTCTGGTGTTCAAACCCCACTCCCTGGGGCACTCCCACAAGAAGTGGGATAAGTGGTCTGCCAGCACTTGGCCTCCCAGAGGCTCTTGAGAAGACCAATGTCAACATCTGTTGCTTGCCTTTTTGAAACCCAGCCTTTCTACACTGCCCCCTCCTCTGCCTGAATCCTTGGATGAACATGGATTTGGCCTCCTTCTAACGAAACATCTGTGGTTTTAGATTGTCTGGTGTGCAGTTCCCTGCATGCAGACAGGACTCCTGTGTCTTCCCTGCCATTAATTCTGAGCACGATACCTGCCACCTGCTATGGGCTTTCTCTACATCAGGGATTATGCCAGGCATTTGACAGACGTTGTCTCCGTGACCTAGGAACGAACCACTGGGGTAACTGTTATCTTCTTAGACAAGGAAAGTAATGCTTGGAGAGGTTAAGCAACTGCCCCAGGTTACCAGCTGGTGTGTGGCAGACCAGGACTCAAGGCCAAAGTCATGTACTTAACCACTCACCTCCCTACCTCCTGCCAGCACTGGCTGCCATTAACCCAGGATTGCTTGTGTCTTCTCATAGGTGAGCCCAGGCCAGGATGGGGGACGCCAGGGACCTTTGCCCTCACCTTGACTCCATAGGGGAGGTAACCAAAGAGGACTTGCTGCTCAAATCTAAGGTAAAGGGTCAGACCTTACGGGGCCAGGGCCCACATCCAGGGCTGCCTCTTTCCTGGGGTGTGGACATTTCTGAAGCAGTGGAAAAACTGGTTCCTTGACCGTCTCTGCTCAGCCTTGTGTGTAAATGGAAATGCTGGCATCTGCTTGGGAGACCCTTCCGGAGGCTGTGTCCTGATAGCCATTAATTATAGTTTAGACCAGGCCATTTGGGAACCACTAATGCTCTCTGTCCATTAGCTGTTGGGGCGGGTGCACAGAGCCTCTCCAAGGCAGGGAATGAATGCTGCTTTCCAAGTCCAGGAGTGTTATTACAAATGAGGCCCGAGGAGGGCTCAGGGAGGCCTGAGCAGGAAGCCAGCTGGGCCTCTTCTCAAAGTAGGAGGACGCATTGCCATCCTTTTGGTGTTGTTAAATGAAAATTTTTGAAAAGGTAATACTTGACATGGTTACACATGAAACAGTATAAAATGATAAATGTCAAGAAGTCCTTCTCTCACCCCCATGCCCACCCTCCCCGGCCCACCCTCGGGTAAGCACTTACTCTCTTTTGTATCTTTTCAGTTTCTTTATGTGAATACAAGCAGATAAACTCATTTTAAGCTTTGCCCTTTCTTACATAAAAGATGGTATACAATCCTCTCTGTCTTGTAACTTGCTTTGTTCACATGACAATGTATCTTGGAGCTCTTTGGACGTCAGTGTGTAGAGACAGCTTTCTCATTTGTTACCTTGAAGCCGCATCATGTTTCATCGTGTGGCCGCAGTGACCGAAGCTCTGTGGGTAGACACCTGGACCCTTTGCAGCCTCTTGCCAATAACAAACGATGCTGCGACGAACGGCCTTGTAGAAAAGTCATTGCATCCACGGGCAGAGCTGCATGCAGGCATGTTCCCAGGAGTGGGATTCCTGGGCATATTGGCACCTAATGCTGGTCGCCTGGCCTCACCGCACCAGCAGGTCCTTGGTGGCCTTTGGCCTGAGCTGGTTTTGTCACGAGGCCTGGCGTGGGAGTGGTTCTTCATAGTGTTTATAGCTGCTTTTGAAGTGACTTCGCCTCTTGCATTGTGAAGTGGGGCAGAGTGAGGCCCAGATGTGTTTGCATTGTCTGATGCTGCGTTTCTCTCTGCTTCTTAGGGAATCTGAGAGCAGGGAGGGGATGAAGCAGGTGGGAAAAGAGAAGTGGAGCACAGGAATGTTTGTGCTGGGACTGGCAGCCGTTCAGAAGCCTGTTAGTGTCTCTAGAGTAGAGACTGGGCGTGTCTGGGATGCTCCGGGCCTGTGTGTCAGAGATCATGACTTCAGGTCCTCTCTGGGTATCCAGAAAGTTACAAAATAAAACCAGCGCCGTTCTAAAATACTCAGAAAGAGCAAGGATATGAGCAGGTCCTTACCAGTAAAGGAGGTAGAAATGACAAGAAACTTTCGGAAAAAGATGGCTGACTTCACTCTCGTGCTTATGGATATTGCTAACGAAATAGGATGATACCATTTTGCAGATGGGCGGAAAGAGATAGATCCATTCGTAGCTGACAGTTACGGAGAAAATGGGCCATTCACATTGTGGTAGGGCTGGGAATTACTGTAACTTTTAGAGAAGCAATTCTGCTTCTGGGAATTTATCCCATAGAAATGTAATCACCAGTTACAAACACATGATACAGCAGTATTTATTGAGCATTATTTGTAAAAGGGAAAAACTGGTGGCACCTGAATAATCCTCAGAAAGGGAATGGGTGAATCAGTTATGGTGTGTCCAGAGTGTGCAGTTATCACAGAGGAGATGCAGTCTTCATGTACAGACTTGAGTGACCCTCAAAGGAGACACAGGCACATTATAGATAAATGTGTATTGCGTGATCTTACTTTTACTAAAAATCACCCGCTCAAGATCTAGGCATACATGTTTTGTGTAAGAAGAATGTACAGAGGAAAATATTTCATACCATACACAACATATAGATGTTATCTGAATTGTTAGAGCAAGCATACGATACTTTCATAAATCAAATAACTGAAATGGAAAAAAAAACCTGGGAAGAGGAGGGTGAATTGTGAAGTCAAAAAATCACAAGAGAGATGACAAATTCAGGAAGGTTTGGGGCTGCGGCTTTGAGTCTGCTAAGCAGACTGATCTCCTGGCACCCACGGCATCCTCCGTGAGAGACCCTAAACCACAGAGTGCAGATCTCAGCTTCATGGTATGGGACGAGCTGCTTCACTTCAACCCCACGTTCAAGCTTTTGACAAACATGGCTGGAATCTGGGTGTAGTGAGAATGAGAAGGAGGCCAGGGAGGCCTGGGAGCTGCCATGGCCACCCTGGGGGAAGCCAGGCTTTCTTGGTGGGAGCTTTGTGGCCTTGCTGCACTGGGCTCCACGCTCATTGGCTTTACCTGCTGTCCAGGCTCATTGGCTTCACCTGCTGACCTTGCTCTGTGGCAAGGTTGTGACCTCAGCGAAAGGGGGATGTTGCTGGGCCCTGCTACAGAGATTGGAAGGGATTCTGTAAGTAGTGTGTAAAAAACTCAGCAGGCTGGGCGCAGTGGCTCACACCTGTAGTCCCAGCACTTTGGGAGGCCGAGGCAGGCAGATCACGAGGTCAGGAGATCGAGACCATCCTGGCTAACACGGTGAAACCCCGTTTCTACTAAAAATACAAAAAATTAGCCAGGTGAGGTGGCGGGCGCCTGTAGTCCCAGCTACTCGGGAGGCTGAGGCAGGAGAATGGTGTGAACCCAGGAGGCGGAGCTTGCAATGAGCTGAGATCGCACCACTGCACTCCAGCCTGGGAACTCAGCTGGAGGCCAGGTGCGGTGGCTCATGCTTGTAATCCCAGCCCTTTGGGAGGCCAAGGTGGGTGGATTACCTAAGGTCAGGAGTTTGAGACCAGCGTGGCCAAAATGATGAAACCCTGTCTCTACTACAAATACAAAAATTAGCCAGGTGTGGTGATGGGCACCTGTAATCCCAGCTACTTGGGAGGCTGAGGCAGGAGAATCACTTGAACCCGGGAAGAAGAGGTTGTATCTCGCCACTGTGCTTCAGCTTGGGAGACAGAGCAAGACTCCATCTCAAAAAAAAAAAAAAAGAAAAAAAGAACTCAGCTGGAGACTTGGATTGTCCTCTTCAAGGGTCTGCTCCCACTGTGGTGGAGCCTGATACTGTAGCTGCTGTCGAAGACCAACACTCAGAGTTCCTCTCACAACTGATGGAAGCACGGCAGATGTTGTAGGGCCTCGGCTGGGAATTGCTGTTCTAGAAGCACAGATGCAGTTATTTGGAGCACAAATTAAGTTGCTGTAATAAAGAGTCCCTAAAATAGAGTGGCGTAAATGAGATAGAAGTTTCCTTTCTCTCATGGAGCAGACCACAGGTAGGGAGGACTGGTAGGTTGGCTCTGCCATTCTCAACATGTGGCTCTTTTCCTGAGTCCAAGGTGGTTGCTTCAGCTCCTGCCATTACATCCACATTCCAGCCAATGGTAAGAGGAGAAAGAGCAAGGGTAGCACACAGCGCAGAAGTGGCACACATGGTTTTTGCTGTCTTCTCATTGACTAGAACTGAGCCCACGTGATCATGGTGGAAGTTGGGAAACATCGTCTGCAGCAGGCTAGCTGTGTGCTCAGCTAAAATCCATGCATCCCATTATTAAAGCAAGGAGGAGAGAAAGGATACCGATAGACACAGAGCAGCCTCTGACGCCCAGACCACCAGAAACCTGGGCATTTCCTGGGGTTTGCCAGGTCTAGTGAACTCTTCATTTATACCAGGCCTTGTGAACTCCCAGGGGTAGGCAAAACAGACCATCCCTCTTTCATGGAGCTCTTGTCTAACGGGTAGAAAGGCTGAAATAATTCAGTGCAAGAAAGGAAGTGTAGAAGGGGTGGTAAGAGAGCATGTTAATGAGTCTCTTACATGATTTTATTTTCCAAGATTAGGTTATAGACACTAAAATCATAAAATGCTGGTTTGAAAATGTTTTTACAGGCACAGGATAGAATTCAAACAGTAAAGTATAAAGTGCTCCCCTGGGAGCCTAATTTGGACAGGTAGTCTGGCGAAGGCCTTTCTGGGGCCAGGGCTTGAAGCTGAGACCTAAGTGCATGTCAGCCAGGTGGGGCCCTCCAGGCAGGACCAGCCCCAGCGCTCAGCCCCCCAGCGGGCTCCTCACACCTACTCTTTCTCTCTCCTCTCAACCCACACAGGGAACCTGTCAGTCATGTGGAGTCACCGGACCAAACCTTTGGGCCTGTCTCCAGGTAAAAGACCCTTGTGGCCATCGGGGGCGTGGAACTGCTTCCACCTGTTGTCAGCACTGCACAGGCTGGTGCAGTGGGCTAGACTCTGGGCTGGGAACTTCCATCCCTGGTGGGCACTGCCAGAAACCTTGGGCAGGGGCACAGGGGCGCAGGGCTCCAGAGTCAGCAAATCCTGGGCTGGCCATTCTGGCAGCAATTAAAAATGACAGGAGAAAAAAATAGGTCGGAGAAGGCTCTGGACCGAAGGCTCCCTTCTTCATAGGACAGAATTCTAGCTTGGCGTGCGTATGTGTGAGTCGACGTGGGTGTCTTGGCTTTGAGGCCTGGCACTGCTGCTCAGCAGCGTCTCTCCCTGGGCCAGTCTCGTTTTTTCTCTGAACCCTCATTACCCGTCTATAAGAAAGAGGCTGCAACACTGACAACTGACAACTGTCCCCGCCTCATGGGGTTAGGGTAGAACTGGATGAGACGGATGCCTGTGACTAGCCAGGAGACGGTGTCCGGGAGAAGCTGGAAGGGTTTGGATGATTACTGGTTACTAAAAAGAGTAAAAGTAGAGGTATGAAAACATGACAGTTTTCCCCGAGTGGTAGAATTATGGATAATTTTCTTTTTTTTGTCTGTAGTGTTTAAAAAATGTTTCCAAGCATGTATTTTTATAGTCATACTAAAAATGACTGTTACTTAAAATTTCTTTAAAAAAAAAAACCCACAAGTAAAAACAACAAAGACAGCAGCAGCGAGTGAAGATAGCCAGTCAGTCTTTGCAGAAGCGCAGGGGCCCCCAGTGGAATTCTGGCCTCTTCTGCTCAGCCCTGTCACTTAGCACAAAGTAGACAGCAAGACACTGTGTATCCGGGGGAAGCAAGAAGGGCCAGATGTTATCTCCTGGGCCGTTACAAGTGCAGGACGTGGTCCTACCTCATAGGAGTCACAGTCCCCTTAGACAGATGTGGGAGCCTGATGCAGAAAATGGCACGTGCTTTCTGAGTCAGCCATGTGATAAAAATCAAAATGATTCCATCATTTTCCCAGAAGGCCCTGCTTATCACAGGTGGCAGTGACAGCAGGCACTCCTGTAGGAGTGTGGTATTGGCCACTGGCTACTGGCTGGCATGGAGGCTCACAGTGGAGGCACTGAGTGGGCCTTGGAGGATGGGTAGATTTGGGATAGGAGAGTGTGAGGGCCCTTTCAAGGCAGCATCATCAGGGGCATGCGGGCCCTGCTGTGGGGTACTGGGTCCATACTGGGCTCCCACTATCTGTGCCCCTTGTTTCAAGCACCTGGTCCCCATTCAGCATCCCCCATTAGAAAATGGCTGTGAGGTCTAGGATCCCCACCAAAAACATAGGTCCCAATAACTGACCCCACTTCACATGGGGTTTTCTTGGAGGGGGAGGGTCTGGGTCCTGAGCAGCCAGGCCCCAGCCGGGATCCCACCTGGGCTTCTTGCTGGAGAGCAGCAGCCCAGGGCATACTGCTTGTCTCACTCAGAGGGCAGGGACAGTGTTTACCGCCCATCACTGCCCAACAGAATTTCAGGCGTACGGACCTGCAGACCTGTGTTCCTTTGAGATGGCAGAGCCTCAGTCCCTTGTAGTGCCTGTTCAGGAGAGGTGGGGGCACTGACTTTGGGATGGAACCAGAGACACTGTGTTGACACCATCCTTTTGGCAAGCTCCAGTCCACTCTCCTCCCCTCTCTTCCCAGGTCTCCTGCCCCTATGTTGGCTGTGGAGAATCCTTCGCTGACCACAGCACCATTCATGCACAGGTGAGTGTGGTAGCTGAGAGTATGGGCCCTGCAGTTAGATGGCCTGGGGTTCAAACCCCAGCTCCACCTTCCTGCTCTGGGCCTAAATGGCTGGGGCAATAAATGGTGTCATCCTAGCATGGCTCCTGCAAAGAAGAGAGGATGCAGGTAAAAACATTTTGCATCTGCACCATTTGGTAAGCAGCAGCCCTCAGGGTCCTGACCGGGGGGGTAAGCAAAATTTGAGCTTCCGGTCTCTGTCCTGACAGGACCTCTTACTGAGAGGCTGGGGAGCAGAGTAGCCATCACAGGTTGGGGCACTTGTTAGGCCAGAATACCTTGGACCTCGTTTTGGATATCACCCTCTAGGCAAAAAAGCACAACTTGACCGTGAACCTGACCACATTCCGGCTGTGGTGTTACGCCTGTGAGAAGGAGGTGTTCCTGGAGCAGCGGCTGGCAGCCCCTCTGCCGGGCTCCTCCTCCAAGTTCTCTGAACAGGTAACCTGTGTGGTGGGCTCTGTTTGGTTGTTGGCAACACTGTGTTGAGGATGAGGCAGTGTGACCTGAGCATCCGTGGGGCACGGGTCAGTAGGTCCCAGAGGTGTGTGTTCCTGGGCCAGTATGTTTTCAGGTGACTTTGAGGAGCTCACATCAGCACATGCTCACTGAGCCCAACTCTGCCGAGGCATGTGTGAGGCCATGAGGGTGCAGAGGTGACTGAGAGTAGGGCCTCCCTTGAGGAGCTCGGAGACCACGGGGTGGCCGTGCAGAGTGTAGGTGTTGGGGTGGGCTCAGGGCCATGAGGTGAGTGTAGACCCAGGCCTTATGGAGAGGGTTGACGAGGTCACAGATGGCCTCTGGCCATCCCAGATCTGAAACCATTCCTAAGGGAATTCCAGGTAGTTGCTACAGCACACTTCTCCATGGGAAATGCCCAGAAACCACCTAGGTAATGTCGACCAGAGAATGGTCCTTTGATCAACAGTGTGTGCCGTGCAACCTTAGAGATGGCGGGTCAGCAAGCCCATGACCTGGAGGGCCCAGCCCCAGGCCTGTGCTCAGGGAATGGTCAGTAATCCTGGATGGCAGAGCTGCCTGCTAGAGGAGAAGCCAGGACATGTGTGTGGCATTGCGTGGCTGACTCCTCCATTTATTTTATTTTATTTTAATTTAATTTTTTGAGACCGAGTCTTGCTCTGTTGCCCAGGCTGGAGTGCAGTGGTGCAATCTCAGCTCACTGCAACCTCTGCCTCCTGGGTTCAACTGATTTCCTGCCTCAACCTCCTGAGTAGCTAGGATTACAGGCGCCCGCCACCATGCCTGACTAATTTTCATATTTTTAGTAGAGTCAGGGTTTCGCCATGTTGACCAGGCTGGTCTTGAACTCCTGACCTCAAGTGATCCACCTGCCTTGGCCTCCCGAAGTGCTGGGATTACAGGCAGGAGCCACCGCACCCGGCCTCTCCTTCTGTTCAGACAGTCACATGATAGGGCTTGATAAGTGCTTATTGAATGCATTTGTGAACTTGGTAGATGTTTATGAATTTTTATAGAAAAGGCTATAAAACAGTATATGCAATATCTTGTTTTTGTTGTGCATGTGTATTAACAGTTAAAAGTCTATATAATATAGGCTGGGCGCCGTGGCTCACGCCTGTAATCTCAGCCCTTTGCTGGGCCAAGGCAGGAGGATCGCTTGAACCCAGGAGTTTGAGACCAGCCTGGGCAGCAGAATGAGACCCCATCTCAACAAAAAATAAGTCAGGCATGGTAGCGCATGCCTGTAGTCCCAGCCACTTGGGAGGCTGAGGTGGGAGGATCACTTGAGCCCAGGAGTTCAAGGTTGCAATGAGCTACTGCACTCCTGCCTGGGCGACAGAGCAAGACTATCTCTTAAAAAAAGTCTACATAATATACATAACAATTAACAGTAGTTCTCTCAGGAAAATGGGGTTGCATGTTTGTTTATGTTTCTATTTTTCCCAAATTTATTATAAATAAAATATTTTTTATTATTGTCAATAAAAAAATACAAGTCAACAGCTGGGCATGGTGGCTCATGTTATCCTAACCCTTTGGGAGGATCGCTGGAGCCCAGGAATTTGAGACCAGCCTGGGCTATATATAAAAAGGTTAGCTGGGGCCGGGTGCGGTGGCTCAAGCCTGTAATCCCAGCACTTTGGGAGGCCGAGGCGGGCGGATCACGAGGTCAGGAGATCGAGACCATCCTGGCTAACATGGTGAAACCCCATCTCCACTAAAAAAATACAAAAAAAAAAAAACTAGCAGGGCGAGGTGGCGGGCGCCTGTAGTCCCAGCTACTCGGGAGGCTAAGGCAGGAGAATGGCGTAAACCCGGGAGGCGGAGCTTGCACTCCAGCCTGGGTGACAGAGCAAGACTCCGTCTCAAAAAAAAAAAAAAAAAGGTTAGCTGGGTGCTGTGGCATGCACTTATAGTCTCAACTACTGAGAAGGGTGAGGTGGGAGGACTGCTCGAGCCCAGAAGTTGGAGTCAGCAGTGAGCTCTGATTGTGCCACTGCACTCCAGCCTGGGTGACAAAGCAAGACCCCATCTCTAAAAAAACACAGGCACAAACAAATCAAGGAGTTCCCAGGGCAAGGCCACCAAATCTCTCTCTTTTTACAGTGCCTTCTGCTCAAATGGACTGGCTCAGCCCAGTGGGGGCTTCCAGGCAGTGGGGCTGGACTTCCAGCCTTTGGGAGACACCTGGGCCTCTGACTCCAGCCCCTCTGTTCCCTGTTTTCCTCACTTGGGGTCTTTAACACAGGACTCCCTGCCACCCTCCCACCCTCTGAAAGCTGTTCCTATTGCTGTGGCTGATGAAGGAGAGTCTGAGTCAGAGGACGATGACCTGAAACCTCGAGGTAATGGCCCCCACAGCAGGGGAAGCTGATGGACTGGGCTGGGGGCCTCACCTGGAGGCTAGAAACCACCAGAGTCTTGGTCTTTATTTGCACCTGCTATATGGACAAGGAAGGATAGGGTGACAGATAAGCTGCATAGCATGGTGGCGTCCCTCTGGAAGCTGGCTGGCCTAGCTAAGGTTCTGGGGAGCCGGCTATCTTGTCCCCTCTCCCAGCTGGGTGACCCTGGGCAGGCCGGCCCCTCTGCTGTATGGTCTGGACAGTGGGCCTGGCTGGGCGGAGGGGCAAAGGAGTTCGTCTGTTTAAAACACTCAGGTAACCACAGCTGTTGTGAGCAGGAACCTTGTTAATTTACTGGGAAGATCCCTGGGGTGGAACACTTCTACCATGTCCTCTTCTTGGGTCCTGGGCAGTTGAGAGCCACAGCTTTGTGCCAGATGTGACTTGCAAGGTCTCCTCAGCAGGGCAGGGCGCTCACCTGCTCCTCCCCTTGTGTTTATTTCCCAGGCCTCACGGGCATGAAGAACCTCGGGAACTCCTGCTATATGAACGCTGCCCTGCAGGCCCTGTCCAATTGGTAGGTCGACACTTTGTCCAAGGGCCGAGAGCTGTCCCTGGCAAAGCCCCAGAAACAGCAGCAGTAGCAGCTCCCAGCCTGTTGTCCACAAACACATGTATAGGATGCACAGCAGCAAAATTCCTAAAAACATGCGTGCCCTTTGACCCAGCAATCTCCCCAGTCGAAATGTGTCCTGAGGAGATAACCAGAGATGCTGGGGAAGTTGTACATGCAAGGAGGCCCACCGCTCTATTGTTTATTGGAAACGATTTAAAGGCCCATCTGCAAGGGAGTATAAATTCTCATAGCCCTTGCAGCAAGTGCAGGAAAAATGGCACAAGACAGCATGCATTGAAACAAAACAGGTTTCAGAATCTGGTGAGTGGGGGAAAAAGGAGGTTATAAAGCATTGTAAGGTAAAATCTCATTTTACGAGAGAAACGCGATTTTCCATTAAGGAAAGGCTATCAGCTCCATGAGGCCAAGGATGCCTCCTGTATCTGACATGCTTCTCCTACCCAGTGGAGATTAGAGATGCTGTATATGTATGCAGGAAGGAGAGAGGGAATGGGTACAAATGTGTAGAAAAGTCTGGGAGACTATGTCCCAAAATGTTCCTAGTAACTATCCTCAGGTAGCAGGATGCAGGTCAATTATTGTTAATAATTGACCGCACCCAGGCCGGGCGCAGTGGCTCACGCCTGTAATCCCAGCACTTTGGGAGGCCGAGGCAGGTGGATCACGAGGTCAGGAGATCAAGACCATCCTGGCTAACACGGTGAAACCCTGTCTCTACTAAAAATACAAAAAACTAGCTGGACTTGGTGGCACGCACCTGTAATCCCAGGTACTGGGGAGGCTGAGGCAGAAGAATCACTTGAACCCAGGAGGCGGAGGTTGCAGTGAGCTGAGATCATGCCATTGCACTCCAGCCTGGGTGACAGAGCAAGCCTCCATCTCAAAAAAAAAAAAAAAAAATTGACTGCACCTAGTCCGTTTTAACTTTAATAACCTCTATAAAGGCCTTGTCTTGGCTGGGCACGGTGGCTTACGCCTGTAATCCCAGCACTTTGGGAGGCCAAGGCAAGTGGATCACCTGAGGTCAGGATTTCAAGATCAGCCTGGCCAACATGGTGAAACCCCGTCTCTACTAAAAATACAAAAAAATTAGCCAGGTGTGGTGGCATGCGCCTGTAATCCCAGCTACTTGGGAGGCTAAGGCAGGAGAAGCACTTGAACCCAGGAGGCAGAGGCTGCGGTGAACCAAGACTGCACCACTGCACTCCAGCCTGGGCAACAGAGTGAGACTCTGTTTCAAAATAATAAAAATAATAATAAAAGAAGATAAGATGAGATAAAATAAAATAAAATAAAAATACGCTGTCTCTAGATATGGTCACACTCTGAGGTACTGGGGATTAGGGCTTCACAGATGAATTTTGGAGGATACAATTTTCTCATAACTGGTAGGAGCCTTCTAGTCACCTTTAGGCGTTTCTGGGTCCAGGGTCACTGTGCTCCCTGCGCGAGCACTCAGGGCTCCCCGCTACGCAGCCCTTTCTAAACCGTGCCACCTGCCTCGTTTGCTTTCCTGACCTGGCTCTCTCTCTCCCTCGCACCCAGCCCACCGCTGACTCAGTTCTTCCTGGAGTGTGGAGGCCTGGTGCGCACAGACAAAAAGCCAGCCCTGTGCAAGAGCTACCAGAAGCTGGTCTCTGAGGTCTGGCACAAGAAACGGTGAGCAGCTGCATCCCTAGCCTCGGGCGGTGTGTGGGGACTGGGGTTTCCTGTCAGCACCCATGATTGAGCTCTTCCTATGGATTCAGCCCCCAGCGAGGACTTGCCTCATTTTGTCCCAGGTAATGCTTGTAGCAAGCCTGCAGGGTGGAAATTGCATCCAATCCTGTTTTACAAATAGGGAAACTGAGATGCAGAGAACTTTAAGTATCTTGCTCAAGGTCATAGAACCTGCAAAAGGTGAGCTAGAATTTGACCTGCTGTTGACCCTAGCCAGCAGCCACTGGGTAGATGTCTTTGCCAAGAGACATGGTGACCCGGCCTCAGCCACAGCTGCGTGTGGAGGAGGTATGGGGCAGGGGGGCACAGACTGGATGGAGCTTCTGGCACAGTATGGAATGAATTTAAAGACCAGAGTCTGTGATTAGATCTATTTCTCCAGGAAAAGTCAAAGTTGGGAATAATTTAAAATGAGCACATAGAAATATGTATTGTGTGTAGAAGCAGATGAAAAACCAGCGTAGGGCCAGGCGCAGTGGCTCACGCCTGTAATCCCAGCACTTTGAGAGGCTGAGGCAGGCGGATCACGAGGTCAAGAGATTGAGACCATCCTGGCCAACATGGTGAAACCCCGTGTCTAATAAAAATGCAAAAATTAGCTGGGCATGGTGGTACGCACCTGTAGTCCCAGCTACTCGGGAGGCTGAGGCAGGAGAATCACTTGAACCCAGGAGGCGGAGGTGGCAGTGAGCCAAGATTGCGCCACTGCAGTCCAACCTGGCGACAGAGCCAGACTCCGTCTCAAACAAAAACAAAAACAACAAAAAAAAACCCAGCATGGGAGAAATATGTATTACGTGTAGAACCAGATTAAAAACCAGCGTGGGGCCAGACGCAGTCACTGACACCTGTAAATCCAGCACTTTGAGAGGCCAAGGCAAGAGAATCATTTGAGCCTGGGAGTTTGAGACCAGCCTGGACAACACAGCAAGACCCCGTCTCTACAAAAACTACAAAATTAGCCAAGCGTGGTGTTTGCACTTGTGGTCCCAGCTACTCAGGAGGCTGAGGTGGGAGGATTGCTTGAGCCCAGGAGGTTGAGGCAGGCTGCAGTGAGCCTTGATCATGCCATTGCACTTCAGCCTGGGCGACAGAGTGAGACCGTGTCTCACAAAAAAAAAAAAAAAAAAAGTCCGGGTGCAGTGGCTCACTCCTGTAATCCCAGCACTTTGGGAGGCCGAGGCGGGTGGATCACAAGGTCAGGAGTTCGAGACCAGACTGGCCAATATGGTGAAACCCCATCTCTACTAAAAATACAAAAATTAGCTGGGCATGGTGGCGCACACCTGTAGTCCCCGCACTTTGGGAGGCTGAGACAGGAGAATCACTTGAACCCGGGAGGCGGAGGTTGCGGCGAACCAAGATCGCGCCACTGCACTCCAGCCTGGGAAACAGAGCAAGACTGTCTCAAAACAAAACAAAAAACAAAAACACAAGAAAACCAGCGTGGTACAGTATAATTCCGCTGTGTAAGAAGCCAAGTTTAAGTGCATATCTGTATGTATTTTTGTATATGCATCTGTAGTTTCACAGAAAAACCCAGAAATCTAATGGTAAGTATCTGGTGCCATTAGTGGTGGTGTTTTTCTCCTGTACTTTTCTGAAATTTTAGATTTGTCAATAATGAACATGTCTTTTGAAATGAGAAAACCACAGTAAGTGTTTCAGAACAAAAACAAATCATGTTTAGGCGAGTTTGTTGTGTGCCAGCAGGAAATGATGCCATTTTATTTGAGCTCTTTGCTTAATTGAGGCAGCTATGACTTGACATTTTCTTCTTGTCTGTAGAGATGTGTGAGCCTCTTGGGGGTCCTGGCTGAGTAGGTCCCTCCCCATATGTCAGGAAACGCCTCACTCTGATCCAGCCTGACTGGCTGGCTGCCTCCTTCTCTCGGGAATGAGCAGCTCAAGGCAGACTACCTGGACTAATGGGTTTGGGCTTCCTACAGGCCAAGCTACGTGGTCCCCACCAGTCTGTCTCATGGGATCAAGTTGGTCAACCCAATGTTCCGAGGCTATGCCCAGCAGGTAAGCCATCTGAGCTGCCCAGGGGACACTCAAGGCCATGACTCACCAGGCCTGACTTTGACGCCAAAACCAGAGTGGAAAATCGCAATGGCAGCTGAGCACTGGTTGGCAGGTCTCAGGGACCAGGCTCTCATTCCTAAGCCCTTCACACATGTGAGGACAGTGGCGCCTCCCAGCAACCTGCTGACATTTAACCCCACTTCACAGATGGGCAGACTGAGGTTCAGGGGGCTGAGCCACTTGCACAGGCCACACAGCTAGTAAATGGTGGGAGGGGAATTCTTTCTTTTAGCGAGGTGGGTACAGGGTCTCACTCTGTCATCCAGGCTAGAGTGCAGTGGGACAGTCATGGCTTACCGCAGCCGTGACCTCCCGGGCTCAAGCAGTCGTCCCACCTCAGGCTCCCAAAGTGCTGTGATGATAGGCATGAGCCACTGCACCCAGCAGAGGGGAGATTTGAACCTGGGCAACCTTGCTTCGGGGCCTGTGCTGTGCCCCTCTGCATTGCACTCAAAATGGCACAGGGTTTCACTTCCCCAAACCACAGGCGAAATTTCACTTTTACTAAAATAAAAATTTTGATTAAGAATTTTTATTTTTTAATCTAGAGAACCCCTTTGAAACCAACCACATTTTTCTATTTGATAAAATAATGAGACCAAGACAGAGTGCAGCCATGTGTACGCCTCAGCCCTGGGCTGATGGCTCCTGCCCTCCAGCCTCCTGCCCCAGATGGCCCCCGGCCTGGGCTTTCATGCCAGGCCTGCAGGCAGAGCTGGACCAGGCTGGGTCGCCTCTTGTGCTGCCTGAATGAGCACCATGGATGGAGTGGCAGTCATGTAAGGACACCTTCCACCCTCCTTTACCTGCTGCCTGCTGTCCTGTCCCAGGATGAGGGCTGCCGGGCCTTTGGCTCCTGCTTGAGCAGCTCAGCACTGCCTGGACACCTCTCTTTTGGGGAGTGATAACATCCACAATGACTAAAATTCACTGTGCACCGTTGAAGTGGTCACAACTTAGTCCTCATAGAACTCTCACGAAGTGGGCACTGTCGTCACCCCCATGTTACAGGTAAAATGCTGAGGCTCAGAGAGGTTCTACCACTCACCCAGGTCACACAGCACATCCTGGCAGAGATGGCATTCAGGCCTACCTGAGCCCATCCCTCAGCACAGCGCTGCCCCGACTGTGCAAGGCGCCCTACGGGCTCTCAGCTCTGGGTCAGGATGCCGTTACGGAGGGCCATGCACTGCTGCAGGACTCCATCTGAACTCCAGCAGAAGCATCCCTTTCTCTGGTTCTAGGACATAACGCGGGGATGCTTCTGAGGCCGAACTGTAGACGCAGCTGCAGGCGCCTCTAAAGGGCCAAAAGACGCTTTCGTGCTTCCTCATGGATTGAGATTTTGGCAAGGAACACATAGTACTTTTGTTGAAAGGAAGAACCAGAAAGAGAACTAGATGGCAGATTGAAAGCCTCTTCTTGAAAGGGCCTTTGATCGTGCCTGCCACAGGACATGTGTCCCCTCCCTGATGCAACAGAACCTGGTGGTTCATTCATCTGATCTGAGTCTGACACTTGGGGAGTCACTCCCGATCCCTCCCTTCCCTGAATGTGAGTGGAGAGAGCCGGGTTCCTCTTTCTAGACGTGTGACATGAGGGCTGGCTCTGACTGCTTCGTGACCCCTGCCTCCTGGGGATCAGAGCCTGGGCTGCGGGCTACTTCTAACATCCAGGCCAGGGACTGCTGGGGCTGATTTGGGCTTGGAACCCAAGTCCTCCAATGCCCAGCACTACCCGAGCACCCCCGCAGCTGCTGGAGTCTGCTTCTGCCACCATGTTCTGACCTCCCAGTGCACCTCCTGTATGAGCACGCAGATCTCAGTGGGGCTCACTGGGCGCCTCTGCCTAAGCCCCTGCTGCCTTGACTTCTTGCTGTGCTGGTGGCCCAGTCACAGAGTGGTCAGGACAAAGTGGTCATTGCTGGGATTTGAAACCCAGGCAGCCTGCAGGGGCAGCTTAGTCTGAGTCATGCCCAGGTCTGTGGGAAGGTGAGAGCAGGCAGTGAGGGACATGGGGGCTGGCATAGGGACTGAGGGAGCCAGGGGGAGCCAAAGGAAGGGTGGAGCACGCAGACGGCCTGGCCTGTGGGTGGCGTGGCTTGGGGCAGGACTCAGGTGAGCCCTCCCTTTTGGCATCACACTTCCTCATCCTTCCTCCACCTCCCTGCCCACCTCCACTGGCCTCTTCTGTAGAGAGAAAGGTGGCTCGGGCTCAATGTGGTCCTGCCTCCCTGTCCTTCCCGTACTGAGCTTGCAGCAGAGGCAGGCGATTCAGAGCCAGAGCCGGGGAGTTGCATGGACCCAGGTGCATACCTGGCTCTGCCACTTTATAGCTGTGTGTCCTGGTAGGAGTCCTTTAGCCTCTCCAGTCCTCACTGTCATCCTCAGAAGAATGGGGTTAGGACAGACTGCCCTGGGAGGCCACCGTGGGGGTGAGCAGCTCCTCTGCAGGGGTCGCCCATGAGGCCCTCCCAGATGGAGGCTGGTGCTCTCATCAGCCATAGGGCGCTGGAGGCTGGTTCCTCCTGCCTCCAGGAGAACCCTGTTGATGCAGCCCCTGGTTCTAGGACACCCAAGAGTTCCTTCGCTGCTTGATGGACCAGCTACACGAGGAGCTCAAGGAGCCAGTGGTGGCCACGGTGGCGCTGACAGAGGCTCGGGACTCAGACTCGAGTGACACAGATGAGAAACGGGAGGGTGACCGGAGCCCATCAGAAGATGAGTTCTTGTCCTGCGACTCGAGCAGTGACCGGGGTGAGGGTGACGGGCAGGGGCGTGGCGGGGGCAGCTCGCAGGCCGAGACGGAGCTGCTGATCCCAGATGAGGCAGGCAGAGCCATCTCTGAGAAGGAGCGGATGAAGGACCGCAAGTTCTCCTGGGGCCAGCAGCGCACAAACTCGGAGCAAGTGGACGAGGATGCTGATGTGGACACCACCATGGCTGCCCTTGACGACCAGCCTGTGGAGGCCCAGCCCCCATCACCACGGTCCGCCAGCCCCTGCCGGACGCCAGGTATCAGCTGGCTGGGGGCTGCGGGAGGAACCTCAGCCTGTGGCCCAGTACCTACTGGGTGCTGAGCGCCAACCTGCAGTGGCCCCCAGGGGATGGGTTTTTCACTAGACCCGAATGACAGTGGGGAAGTCAGCCTCGGCGGGGGTCAGTGATGTGCCCAGGGTCCCCTAGCTCATAACGCTGGAGCCCAATTCAGAGCCCTCTCCCAGAGCCTTGAGCCTTCCGCCGGAAGTGGAATGGACAGCTCTGCTCCGGCCTGTGTGCTGGGGCCAGGAGTGGGCACGTGACAGATGAGACACATTGGGGTCAGGCCTTCGTCCCTTTAGGAGGGGCTGGCAGGTCATCTTCCTGCCCACCTACGGAGCCGGCCTGGCTGCCCTGGCCCAGCATGGTGCCCTCTCTGCCCCCAGAGCCGGACAACGATGCCCACCTACGCAGCTCCTCTCGCCCCTGCAGCCCCGTCCACCACCATGAGGGCCATGCGAAGCTGTCTAGCAGTCCCCCTCGTGCAAGCCCCGTGAGGATGGCACCGTCGTATGTGCTCAAGAAAGGTTCGGGGGGCACAGGGGAGGGTGGGTCAACTTGGGGCTGGGAGTGCAGACTTGCACCCGTGGCTGCCTTTCTCATGGTCCCATGTGGCGGAGGGCTGGGCTGTGGGCTCCTCTCAGGTACACCCCTGAGACACCAGTGTGGGAGCCACGTTTTGCAGAGGATGACACAGAGGCGCGAGATGGTGAATTGCTTGCCCAGTCACATGACTCGCATATGTCACTCCACATCCTGTCAAAGGAAGCCCCAGGGCCCGCACCTCGCCCCGGCCAGGTAGGTGGAGGCTGGGCTAGTCCTGTGCTATGTCCCCAGCCCAGGTATTGAGTGCCGGCAGCCGGAGGCGGAAGGAGCAGCGCTACCGCAGCGTCATCTCAGACATCTTTGACGGCTCTATCCTCAGCCTCGTGCAGTGTCTCACCTGTGACCGGGTGGGTGCCCCCAGGGATGGGGGGAGCTGGGCCAGGCTGCCAGCGGCCTCAGCAGCTCTTGCCCTAACTGGGTGCAGGGTGGGCTCTCCATGGGTGCTCCCTGCTTTTCTCCAGGGGAGGGCCCTGCCTGTGTGGATCCCGTGTCTGTGGCCCGGGGAGCAGGCCCTCTGCCCCTCACCTGCTGGTTGGGATTTGGGGTGCAGATATTGCCAGAGGACGGGCAGCAGACTAACGTTTAATCCCACAGGTGTCCACCACAGTGGAGACGTTCCAGGACCTATCGCTGCCCATTCCTGGCAAGGAGGACCTGGCCAAGCTCCACTCAGCCATCTACCAGAATGTGCCGGCCAAGCCAGGCGCCTGTGGGGACAGCTATGCCGCCCAGGGCTGGCTGGCCTTCATTGTGGAGTACATCCGACGGTGCGCCCACCTTGCCACTACCAGACGACACGGGCTGGGCCTTGTCCTGGTTTTCCTGGGCGGGAGACACTACATAGTGAAGTCCACGCATTTGGGGGACCAGGGAGGTCCTGGGAGGATCTGGGGGCTGCGGAGGAGTTGGCTTAATAAGCAGGGGATTTCTTGGCTACTTTGGAGTGGACAGGATTGGATGGTCCCTTGGAGCTGGAGGGCAGTGACAGCATGGAGGTGACCACGTGGCAGGTTGAAGGGAGGGCAGCAGCAGGACACAGGCCTTGTGGGCAGGGGGCAGCAGCTTTCCCAGGGCTGCCTCACCCGCCTGAGGCCAGAGACCCGCACGGCCCCAGGGAGGGAGCAGCATGATCATGGCCGCAACACAGATGAAGGAGGCCAGGCCTGGGGAGAGTGATGCCACTCAACCCAGAACGCGGAGAGGTCTGGCTCCAGGCCTCTGCCCCGACCCTCTGTGCCTGGCTGCCACTCTGGGCCTTCGGGGTCCTTCTGTGGCTCAGGCCTGACAGACCTCAGCCAGAGTCCCTTCAGCTCCTATTCTTGCCCAGGCCCTGGCAGCACCCAGCACTCCTTTTCTGTCTGTAGGTTTGTGGTATCCTGTACCCCCAGCTGGTTTTGGGGGCCTGTCGTCACCCTGGAAGACTGCCTTGCTGCCTTCTTTGCCGCTGATGAGCTGAAGGGTGAGTGACCTGGCTGGCAAGGGTTGGGGAGGTGGAGGGTTGTGAGAACAGGGGTGTGCAGACCCCAGCAGGCCAGCATGCAGCCCAGGGCTTGTGGGATGCACGGCCAGGCTAGACTTGGCTTCCAAGGTTGAACCCCACTTCCAAGATTCCCACCCCCACAGCCAGCCAGGCTGGGCCGGGGCCACGTGATCTCCCAACCCTACCATCCTGCAGCTCTTGGGTGTTTACTTATTTTTATTTTTACCAATTTGGTGAGCAAAAATGATATTGTGTGTTAATTTTTCATTTCCTTGATTACTGATGAGTTTCTACATTTCTTGTTAAATATACTGGCTCTTTGTATTTATTTAAACTTTGCCCATTGCTGTCCTTGCCCTTTTTCTCTGTTGGCTATTTGGCATCTAAACCTTTGGGAAAACTCTCTCTCGTCTCTTTTTTTTTTCCTCCAATTTTCAATTGTGGTAAAATACACAAAATGTAAACTTTACCACCATAACCATCGCAAATGCCATTTTTAACAGAAAGTGCCCCGCTGAGTAGTATGAAATACATACACATGGTCGCACAGCCATCCTCCTCATTCACCTCCAGAACTTTTCCATCTTGCAAACCTGAAACTCAGTATCCGTGAAACAGCTCCCTACTCCCACCTCCCAGCCCCTGGCAACCTCCACATTCAAGTCTGTGAATTTGACTGCTCTAAAGGGCCTCATATAAGTGGAATTATACAGTATTTGCCATCTTGTGACTGATGGCTTTTACTGAGCATAACGTCCTTAGGGTTCATCCACGTTGCAGCGTGTGTCAGAATGCCCTGCCTTTTGTAGGCTGGTTATTTATTGTTCCATTGTGTGGATGGCTGGGGCCATTCTGCTTCTTCGTTCATCCATCAGTGGACACTCGGGCCACTTCCCTGTTAGCTATTGTGCGGAATGCTGCTCTGACCATGGGTGTGCACACCTGTCTTCTTTCATCCCTTTGGGTCTATGCCTATTTTTAATTTCTTGAGGAGCCACCGTACTAGGTTCCACAGTGGCCACCCCATTTCACGTTCCCACCAGTGACACACAAGAGTTCCAGTTTCTCCACATCCTCGCCCACACTCATTTTCTGTTTACTTTTTTGATGGGAGTCAACCTCGTGGGTATGAGGTGGTATCTCATTGTGGGTTTTTTTGTTTTGTTTTGTTTTGAGACGGAGTCTCGCTCTTGACGCCCAGGCTAGAGTGCAGTGGCATGATCTTGGCTCACTGCAACCTCCACCTCCTAGGTTTAAGCGATTCTTCTGCCTCAGCCTCCCGAGTAGCTGGGATTACAGGCACATGCCACCATGCCCAACTAATTTTTGTGTTTTTAGTAGAACGGGGTTTCACCGTGTTGGCCAGGCTGATCTCCAACTCCTGACCTCAGGTGATCCGCCCGCCTTGGCCTCCCAAAGTGTTGGGATTACAGGTGTGAGCCACTGCACCTGGCCTCGTTGTGGTTTTGATTTGCATTTCCTAATGATAGTGATGTGAAGTGTCTTTTCATGTGCTTGTTGGCTATTTGTAAGTCTTTGGAAAAACATCTATGTGAGTCCTTTGCCTGTTTTGATTTTTGTTGCTGGTTATGGGATTCTTTTTTTTCTTGCAACAGTCTCACTCTGTCACCCAGGCTGGAGTACCATGGCGTGATCTTGGCTCACTGCAGCCTCCGCCTCCTGGGTGCAAGCAATCCTCCCATCTCAGCCTCCCGAGTAGCTGGGATTACAGGCATATGCCACCACACCTGGCTAATTTTTGTATTTTTAGTAGAGATGGGGTTTCGTCGTGTTGGCCAGGCTGATCTTGAACTCCTGACCTCAAATGATTTGCTGCCTTGGCTTCCCAGAGTGCTGGGATTACAGGCGGTGAGCCACTGCGCCAGCCTTATTAATTAGAGGAGTTCTTTGTATGTCCAGATGTGTGACTTGTAACCCTGTCCTCCCATCCTGTATGGTGCGTTTCATTCTGTGGTTTGTGTCTTTTGCTTTGGTTGCCTGCACCTTTGGTGTTGTGTTTCAGAAATCATTGCCAGATCCAATGTCATAAAGCTTTTTTCCTACTTTTCTCCTAAAAGTGTTATAGTTTTAGGTCTTATATTGAGGTCTTTGATCCCATTTTGACTTAATTTTCAGTGTGCATGGAGGGGGAAACTATACATTAAGATTTTAAGCCCGTCAGGGTGGTGTGTACCTGTGACCCCAGCTACTCCGGAGGCTGAGGGTCCCCTGAACCTAGGAGTTTGGGACCAGCCTGGGCAACATAGCAAGACCCTATCTCAAAAAAATTGTTTCAAATACATTTTCTGTAATTAATGTTACACTTCCCCCTCCACCTCCATTTTGCCTTTTGCCTTTTAATTTTGCTTTTGGTGGTGTCTTACAGATGTTGAAGTATTTCTGGGGTCAAATATATCCATTTCTCCCTTGTATGGATTCTGTCTATGGGGCCCAGCCAGGGCCTTCCCTCCCTCCAGTACCTCTCAGGTTTTATTTCTTTTTCTTTTTTTTATTTTTTTTGAGATGGAATTTCACTCTGTCGCCTAGGCTGGAGTGCAGTGGCACAATCTTGGCTCACTGCAACCTCTACCCCCAGCCCCAGTTCGAGCGATTCTCCTGCCTCAGCCTCCTGAGTAGCTGGGATTACAGGCATGCACCACCACGTCCAGCTAATTTTTGTATTTTTAGTGGAGACAGGGTTTCGCCATGTTGGCCAGGCTGGCCTCGAACTCCTGACCTCAGGCGATCCGCCTGCCTCGGCTTCCCAAAGTGCTGGGATTATAGGCATGAGCCACTGTGCCCGGCCAGGTTTTATTTCTTAAGCAGAAATCATTATAGTCACTTTTTTTGCTCCCCCATTTCCCATGCTCGCTAACCTCTGACTCTTTGTTTTACTGCCCTAGGTGACAACATGTACAGCTGTGAGCGGTGTAAGAAGTAAGTGAGCCTTCCCTGGCCTTTTCCTTAACTGCCCGTTTCTGTGCCCTGCATATTCCCCTTGGGTTTCCGCAGAGAGCCCCCCACAATCCTGCCTTCCCAGAAGAGAGCCGGGTGGAGGGCTGCTCCCCGGCCTGATGCCGGACACTGAAGCTGGCTTGTGCTTCCTCCCCAGGCTGCGGAACGGAGTGAAGTACTGCAGAGTCCTGCGGTTGCCCGAGGTAAGCCGGCGGCCTTGGCAGCCTCCTTCTCAGCTGTCCCGGGGTGCACACCAGCACACACCACGCGGGGGCTGACCCTGCTCCGCTTCTCGGGCACTTCTGTGCTGCAGGGGCCACGGAGACTCCATAGCTTTGGCTGAGAAACCTCTGGGAAGGGTTGGCAGGGGGCACATTTTTCCGACTGTGACTTGGTGCTCTCTCTCGGTGGCCTCAGCACATTTGTTGTCTAACGTGTTGTGTGAGGGCCCAGTGGGAGGCAGGTGTGTAGGATGCTGAGGCACCACCCCCACTGAGGCAGCTATGGCTCCTGCCGGCTACAGAGTGGTGAGAGGAGAGCTGGCCCAGCCGGGGCTGTTGCCAGGGGCCTTTCTGAGGAGTGATGTCTGAGTGAGGCCTGGAGGTTGTAGGCTGGTGTCAGCGTTGTGGATGGAAGGCACAGAAGGAACAGACAAAACCCCAGTGCAGGAGCAGGCTTGTCCGCACCAACGAAGGCACGTGTGTGGCTGTAGCAAAGAGGAGAGGGCCCCAGCAGAGGGGGCCCAGGATGGGGCTGTGTTGGTTCGGGGAGGCTTTGTGGCTTCTCAAAGGCAGTGCCGACAGAACTAGTAAACTTGATGGCTCAGTGCAGCTCTCGGAGTCCAGTTCTCAGCCATGGAGCTGGGAATGATCTGTGTGACTTAGAGTGAGCCCAGTCTGGACCACGTGGAACTCTTCGATTTGTTCCAATGGAGTCAGCTTTCATGATCCCATCAGCTGTCCTGGGCCCGGGGGCAGGCCTGCGAGCATCCGCGTCATTTCTTCCTAGGTGACCGGTGCGCTCTCTGTCCCCACAGATCCTGTGCATTCACCTGAAGCGCTTTCGGCACGAGGTGATGTACTCATTCAAGATCAACAGCCACGTCTCCTTCCCCCTCGAGGGGCTCGACCTGCGCCCCTTTCTTGCCAAGGAGTGCACATCCCAGATCACCACCTACGACCTCCTCTCGGTCATCTGCCATCACGGCACGGCAGGCAGTGAGTCATGTCCCCTCCCCTGCTGCCCCCATCCGCTAGGATCCCTGTGACCCGTCTGCTCTGCCGCAGGTGGGCACTACATCGCCTACTGCCAGAATGTGATCAATGGGCAGTGGTATGAATTCGACGACCAGTACGTCACAGAAGTCCATGAGACGGTGGTGCAGAACGCCGAGGGCTACGTCCTCTTCTACAGGTGGGCGCCGGGCCGGGCCTGGTGGAGGAACCTCACCACCCCCGTCCCCTAGGACCCATGGGCCTTCTGGGTGTATGTAGGGGACAGTGCCTGGAAGGGTTTTGAACCAGGGAAGTAAGGACTTGGATTAAGAAAGAGCTCTCTGGCTGCTGTGGGGAATGCAGGAAGGCAGCTTGGAGCCTTCTCCAGGGCCCTGGCTGGTGCACAGGGGCGCTGCTCACATGTCCAGGACCCCTGAGGAACCCAGGAGGTGGACAGGGCCGGTAGCCCCAGGTGCACTGGGATGAGGGCTCTGCATGTGTCTGGAGGTGGCAGCCGTCAGGCACAGCTTCTCGCCCCCTCCTCACCCCGCAGGAAGAGCAGCGAGGAGGCCGTGCGGGAGCGGCAGCAGGTGGTGTCCCTGGCCGCTATGCGGGAGCCCAGCCTGCTGCGGTTCTACGTGTCCCGCGAGTGGCTCAACAAGTTCAACACCTTCGCAGAGCCAGGACCCATCACCAACCAGACCTTCCTCTGCTCCCACGGAGGTGAGGCGCCCCCCTGTGGTGGGAGAGCAGGGTGGGCAGGTGTGCCGAGCCACAGCTTCACTCCCTGTACCTTCTTCCCAGGCATCCCGCCCCACAAATACCACTACATCGACGACCTGGTGGTTATCCTGCCCCAGAACGTCTGGGAGCACCTGTACAACAGGTAAGAGCCCGGGAGGCCAGCTAGTCTCTGTCCCGTCCAGGGCCCAGCTGGGCAGGAAAAGAAGGGAGGACAGGGAAGGAATGCCGCCAGGACCCCTCACCACACGCTGGCCTCCACTCGGCAGCACAGAGCCGCCTTCACTTGTCTCATGGAGAATGACACGTGTCGTTTGTGGGAATCCACTTGGATCCTTCCAGTCACAAGGGACAGGAAACTGGCTGAAGCACAACTGAGTGTGTTGGCTCATCTGGTCCTCAGCCTTGAAACAAGGCCTCTTGGGGACTGTGGGCGTGCTGCTCCCTTGCAGGCTCCATGGTGCTCACACAGAGGCACGTGCAGGCCTGTGACAGCGCTGAGGGGGCACTGATGGCTTGAGGGGGAAGTGGAAGGCAGTGATCACTCTCCCCTCACTGGTGCCCCCCTCAGGCCATGTTTCTCTCTCCCTCCCACCCTGAGCACAGATTCGGGGGTGGCCCCGCCGTCAACCACCTGTACGTGTGCTCCATCTGCCAGGTGGAGATCGAGGCGTTGGCCAAGCGCAGGAGGATCGAGATCGACACCTTCATCAAGGTGCATGTGGCAAGGCAGCACGGGGGCGGCTGTGCCAGCCTCTGCCTGGGGCACTTGGGGACTTGGGGACAGAAGAGCCCTGTGTAGTCCCTGAGCAAGTTTGAAGGAGTCTTTTGAGGCTGGGCACGGTGGTTCACACCTGTAATCCCAGCACTTTGGGAGGCTGAGGCGGACAGATCACTGGAGGTCAGGAGTTTGAGACCAGCCTGGCTAACATGGCGAAACCCCATCTCTACTAAAAATACAAAAATTAGCCGGGCATGGTGGCGGGTGCCTGTAATCCCAGCTACTCGGGAGGCTGAGGCAGGAGAATCGCTTGTACCTGGGAGACGGAAGTTTCAGATTGTGCCATTGCACTCCAGCCTGGGCAACAGAGTGAGACTCTGTCTCAAGAAAAAAAAAAAAAAGAAAGGAAAGGAGTCTTCTGCGGGGGACTAGATGGCGAGGTGTCTAGGAGGACTTTTCCTGGTGAGAGGGTTGGCTTGAGTAAGTGAAGGCTCATCGCCCGGGTGCTGTTGAGCTTAAAGAACCAGTAGATGGATCCCGTTCTCAGCCTTGGCTGTGTTATTTTGGGCTGAATCATTCTTTACTGTGGGGCCATCCTATGCATTGTAGGATGTTTAGCAGCATCCTTGGCCTCTACTCACTAGTGCTAGTGACAACCAAAATGACCTCCAGTCATTGAGACTTCTGTGAAAGAGCTGAGTGCAGGTGAGGCTCCTGGCACACTCCCTCCCTGCCACACTACTTCTAACAGGGTTAGGACGCGCTCCACTCATAGGGAAGGCCCGGCGAGAGACACTGAGGGACGCCCGTGCTTTGTGGCCATTAGGAAGTGATTCTGCTGCCTGGGCACAGTGGCTTATGCCTGTGATCCCAGCACTTTGGGAGGCTGAGGCAGGTGGATCACTTGAGCCCAGGAGTTCAAGACCAACCTGGCCAACATGGCGAAACCCCATCTCTACCAAAAATACAAAAATTACCTGGGCACGGTGGTGTGTACCTGTAGTCCCCGCTACCTGGAGGGCTGAGTGAGGTAGGAGGATCACCTAAGCCTGGGAGGTTGAAGCTGCAGTGAGCTGTGATCGTGCCACTGCACCCCAGCCTGGGCAATAGAGACCCTGTCTCAAAACAAAAACAAAAAAGATACTGTCAGGGCTGAGCATAGTGGTGTGCACTTGTGGTCCAGCCTACTCAGGAGGCTGAGGTGGGAGGATCACTTGAGCCCAGGAGGTCAAGGCTGCAGTGAACCATGATTGCGCCGCTGCACTCCCGCCTGGGCACAGAGTGAGACCCCCCCCCATCTCAAAAAAGAAAAGAAAAAAGAAAAAGAAAATGCTCCTGTCAGAAGGAGAGCTGCCTCTCTGAGCAGATAGGCACATTCTATTCAACCGGGGAAAATTAGCATCTGCCAGGCCAGGTGCAGTGGTTCATGCCTGTAATCCCAGCACTTTTGAGAGGCCGATGTGGGCGGATCACCTGAGGTCAGGAGTTCAAGACCAGCCTGGCCAACATAGTGAAACCCCATCTCTACTAAAAATACAAAAGTAGCCAGGTGGTGGCGCGCACCTGTAGTCCTAGCTACTCAAAAGAGGCTGAGGTGGGAGAATCGCTTGAACCTGGGAGGCAAAGGTTACAGTGAGCCGAGATCGTGCCATTGCACTCCAGCCTGGGTGACAGAGTGAGACTCCCTCTCAAAAAGTAGCATCTCCCTTGTGGTCTCAGTTGGGTCAAACAGTTATTGAAGAGACCCACAAAATGTTGCCACTGTCCTCTCTGAGCGATGGGTGTGTTCATTTTGTTTGAGCTTGTCTGGGGGTTCTGATTTTTCACCTTGAGCATCTGGTGTTTTTGTAAGACTCTTGGGTGAGGGCCTGGGGCGGGGGCATTTGGGAAATCCTTGCTGAAGGTAAATAGAGGCTGACCTGCCCTCTGTCCCCTCCCGTCCTTGCCCGCCTGCCCAGCTGAACAAGGCCTTCCAGGCCGAGGAGTCGCCGGGCGTCATCTACTGCATCAGCATGCAGTGGTTCCGGGAGTGGGAGGCGTTCGTCAAGGGGAAGGACAACGGTGAGCTGAGGGGGGCCTGGCACTTACCTGCCCCGGGGGCCTCCTGGGAGATGGGATGCTGGCAGGGGAGGGCCGGCACACGGGGGCTCCTGCAGGCCCCGTACCTTCCCCCAGGTGCCACCCATCCAGGGTGGACAGAGAGCATGGGGCTCTGCCAGTCCCCAGTGGGGATCGCTGTCCCCACCCAGAGGCAGGAAGCCGCTCCTGCTCTGCGCCCCTCCCCTTCTCCACTCCCTGCCGTGCCCAGCAGGCTGCTCTGCCCTCCTGCAAGGCCCTTTCCTCAGGGGAGCGTGTTGCCCGAAATGACAGATTTGTCATCCAACTCGTTGGATCTACAGAGATGGAGACAGGCCCCATCACAAGGATGCTCCCAGGGCCCCCCAGACCCCCAGTGAGGAACAGCAGAGCCAGCCATGGGTTGCCTGTGGCTTTGGGGCCCGGCAGGGTGGGCAGAGCCCATGGTCCTGCTCACGGGACCCTTTGTGTGGAGCACAAGCACCCACCTGTGCTCGGGAAGGAAGGCCCCACTGCCATCCCGCTGCTCAGGGAAGGTGCCAGGGCCACCCTGAGGCACCTCTGGTGGTGGCTGAGGCCTTCAGCGTGGCTGTGGTTGAGAACGTAGCTCCGGAACCCCCACCCTGGCCTGGACGGTGGCCTTGCCTTCTACCAGCTGTGACCTGAGTGGTTACTTCACCTGCCCAGGCCTCGGCTCTGTCTCTGTAAACCTCTGTCTTGTCCTGTGGCTGCTGAGGCTAAATGAGACAGCTGGGCAGAGGGGAAGGGGCGTGGTGAGTGGCAGCTGCCAGCAGAGATGAGGGCATGGGCCGCCCACCGCAGTTCCCGCGGCCAGCACAGAGTCTGAGACGATCTCGTGCATCCTGGAAATTCCCTCTGCTGGGTCCTCAGACTGCCGCAGAGGAGCATTGGGTGGCCCAGGCACCTCCTTTAGAGACTTCTCGCTGACCCCCAGGCCTGGAGTGGCCTCACTTGGGATGGCTCTGCTGCTGCGGAGGGTGGAGGGCGTGGCAGGGGCTGAACCCGAGCCTGCTGTGTCTGTTCCAGAGCCCCCCGGGCCCATTGACAACAGCAGGATTGCACAGGTCAAAGGAAGCGGCCACGTCCAGCTGAAGCAGGGTGAGTTCCCCCGGCGTCAGCCAGGCTCCTCTCTGCGCTTCCTGGCTGCCAGGCTGCTGCCCAGCCCCGTCCTTCCAGGAGCCCCCTTCCCACCTGTCTTAGAGTCAGGCTGAGATGTCCACCCGAGTCCAGGCCCAGGCGGCTGAGAGATGGCGCAAGGGGCTTGGTCTCTGCTTGTGTCCTCCGGGTCCCACCCCTCCGCCTGCTGCTGGCCTGGCCCACCCTGCTGTCTGCTTGTGTCCCCCGGGTCCCACCCCTCCGCCTGCTGCTGGCCTGGCCCACCCTGCTGTTTATGTCAGCGCCACTCCCAGAAACGAGGGACACAGCCAGAAATAACACATCTCCGGGGCCCTTAGCAGGACGGACGTTCCTCTGGGAAATCCTGGTTTCCATCTGACGGCTTTGCATAGATGCCCTGGTTGCCGTCCTCCCCCTTTGGGGTCTGGCCCTGCGGAGCCCCCACTGCCCAGGCCAGTGGCTTCCTTGAGGCGGCAAAGGTGAGCCCAGGGATGCCTCTCGTGCCCTGCAGGAGCTGACTACGGGCAGATTTCAGAGGAGACCTGGAACTACCTGAACAGCCTGTACGGAGGCGGCCCCGAGATCGCCATCCGCCAGAGCGTGGTGCAGCCGCCGGGCCCAGAGAGCCTGCACGGGGAGCAGAAGATCGAAGCCGAGACCCGGGCAGTGTGATTTGCTGGGCTAGTCTGTAAGTGGCCCTGGCCGGTCCCTCCACGGCACTCTGGGTCCTCTCCTCCCTCTCCAGAGACCCTCACGTGTCCCTTTGAGCATCCAAAGGGCAGGTCCCTGAAGGCACCTTCCTGGAGGCTGTAGGGAGGCCCTGGACGTGCCCAGCCCCACTGCTGAGTGCCCGTGTCCCCACAGCCCTGTGTGCCCCCCCCCGCGGAAGGCGTGTTTGTGCCCAGAAGAGAGGCCGGGCCACTGCAGAACCCCGCTGTGTAAAGAGGCAAAAAAGTTGGTTTGGTTCGCAGTGAGTAACGCTGCAACTGGAAAACGTGCACTTCAGGCTTGTTTAAACGACCAAGACTCTGTGACGTTAATTTGGGTTTTTGTCCTGGCAGTGCTCCTGCCAGTCACTGTCATCATTGTGTCCCCCACAACTGTCCTCTTACTAGCTCGGCCCAGCTTTGTTCCTGGAGCCCGATGCTGCCCCCCTCAGGCAGAGGATGCGTCTGGGGCCAGAGTCAGGGAGTAGCTGCTGCTTCACAGCGTTGCCACCGTTTCTGCCGCCACCGTTTCTGCCATGAGATTGGCCCTGATCCCCAAAGACTGGAGGGAGCTGCTCCGGACTGGTGAGCGCAGCCAGAAGCCCTGGCCAGTGAGGAGCTCACAGGTCCTCCCTGATGGTCCCGCCGCACCCCTGCATCTCCTGGGCGTCACCAGGAAGGCTCTGAAGTCCCAGGCTGCTTTCAGCACTTTTCCTGCAGACTGGAGACTCTGGACTCATTGCTGATTGGAATGCCAGGAGGAGGGTGGATTTCTGCCAGTGGGGGACATTTCTGGAGGCAGCTGGTCCCCCACACCGCATCCTGCTGAGCCTGCCCCTGGATTGGCTGTACTTTGCCTGGAAGTTCAGCAGTTCATCTTCATGGGAAATTTGCTGAGCCCCCACCAGGGAACCGGATGATGAAACAGGGATACCTCACAGCGCTGCCATTTGCTGCAAAGGCAGCTTCCCGGGCCGACGCTAGAGAAGACAGACTTCCCCTTCCTCCCAGCACCAGCAGTGCAGAGCCCACCTGGAAGCGTGTGGGGGGCGTGCAGGGGGCAGCGCTCAGGCGGATCCTGGGAAGCGGCCTCTGGATGCTGAGTGGAAGGACCCAGTGAGCACAGCAAGGCACCAAAGCCCCTGGAGAAACCGCCAGAGCGAGATGCGGCCGTCGTCAGGGTCACAGCAGATGGCGCGTGGGTGGGGAAGGGGCTCTGGGACCAGACCCCCACACCTCTGTGGTCATCAGTCTCTGTAGAAGCAGATGGTGGTGGAAATTCCAGCAGGTGGGTCCGGCAGAGGCCCCGAGGCCTCACTTTTCGGATCTTCTCTCCCAGATCCTGCTCCCTCCCGGCTGAGCCTGGGTTCCCTGGCATTGGCCCCAGCCTTCTGAAAGCTGCTGCTGCAGCCAGAGGCCGCACGCTGCACTGTCACCACGCAGCTGTGCAGGCTGGGATCGGGCCCCACCTCTGTGCTGTCTAGTTTGTGTTCAGAATGTCAGAATAAACACAGAATAAACATTCCCACAGCCACACTGTCGTCTCTCCTTCACTGCAGTTAATTCTGTTACTGGAGGGCAGGTGAGGCTCTCCGCCATGGGGACAGCCCCTCAAGCCCTGGGGCTCGCCTTGCAGATCACCAAGCCGGGAGGGAGCTTTCCATGTGGCTTTCTGAAACCAGAGACCACCTGGAGGCTGTGGACGCGAGCAAAAGAGGGGACCCAGCCTCTTTAAAGGCCCGTCGGTGTCTCCTTTCCTGGAATCAACACCAGCCTCAGACAGGTAGGGCCAGATGTGGCCAGTGATTGAGGCCAGCACATCCCACGGCCGGTCCCCCTCCGGCCGCCCAGACAGGCGGTTACAGAGTGGCTGTGAGCAGGGGGTTGCCTCTCCTTTGCACACCGGCCCTGGGCATTCAGTGATGCTGGTGTTCAGTAGTCTGAGTTTTTTGTTGGGTCTCATTTTGGGGGAGAGAAGAACTTGAGATTTTTATATATAACTTATCAACATGTATTTGTGAAATCCCATTGTTGCAGGAAAAAGGGGTTCCGATCCAGACCCCAAGAGACGGTTCTTGGATCTCACGCAGGAAGAAACTCAAGGTGAGTTGCAGAGTTCACTGAGAAGAGTTTATTGAAAGCTGCTCAGGTACAGAGTAGAGCATCCTTAGAAAGTAAGCGGAGGGGTGCCCGTCGCTGTTTTCAACTCCTCTTATGTAGGGGTCTTAGCTATAGAAAAGCTACGCTGCCTGTCACGTGGGCTGACAGCCTGACACAGTGGATTGCTCTGTTGATTTAAAGAAAGCTATCCTTGGCACATCGAAGCCTCACTGTGGTCATCTTCAAGCATACACTGTGTGGCATCTGAACCTTCTGCCGTCCTAGGAGTTTGTCCTCGTGGGCGTTAGGCAGCTGCTTCCTCAGACTAAACATCTTAGACCAAGGTTGTGACTGGCCTGGACTGTGCCTAATTTTCTGTTTTTTGAGATGGAGTCTCTCTCTGTCGTTCAGGCTGGAGTGCAGTGGCGTGATCTTGGCTCACAGCAACCTCCACCTCCTAGGTCCAAGTGATTCTCCTGCCTCATCCTCCCAAGTAACTGGGATTACAAGCGCGTGCCACCATGCCCGGCTAAGTTTTGTATTTTCAGGAGAGACAAGGTTTCACCATGTTAGCCAGGCTGGTCTCGAACTCCTGACCTCAGGCGATCTGCCCACCTCGGCCTCCCAAAGAGCTGGGATTACAGGTGTGAGCCACCGTGCCCAGCCCCCCTGGCTAGTTTTCAGGTGGAGCTGAACTCAGAATGACGTCACCCTGGCTCCCCAGGCTTCTGCTTCCCCACCCCTGTCAGATACGAGTGCACAGAAACATTCCAGCATATGCAAGGATAACACCATGACAAGGACCCACGATGGCACAGTGCCAGTTCCATGGAAAGCCCCGGGGCCTCCGGAGTCAGCCACCTTGCCCCACCCCAGTGGTGGCTTCTTGCACGCAGTTCCCTCATCCCGCCTTTTTTTTTTTTTTTTTTTTGCTGAAAAATGCTTCATTGTATTACTATCTTTTTTTTTTTTTTGAGACAGAGTCTCACTCTTGCCCAGGCTGGAGTGCAGTAGTGCAATCTCACCTCACTGCAACCTCTGCCTCCTGGATTCGAGCAATTCTGCCTCAGCCTCTGGAGTAGCTGGGACTATAAGCACGTGCCACTACGCCTGGCTACTTTTTTTTTTTTTTTTTTTTTTTTTTTTGTATTTTTAGTAGAGACGGGGTTTCACCGTGTTAGCTGGGATAGCCTTCATCTCCTGACCTCGTGATCCGCCTGCCTCGGCCTCCCAAAGTGCCGGGATTACAGGCTTGAGCCACTGCATCTGGCCAAAAGCTTCATTTTAAAATTGAGCTTTCTGACTGTGCTCATGCCTTTAACACCTTCCCAGCAACTTTCTGCTCCTTGATGAGGAAGGCACACTTGATCCTGTCGGGAACACGTTCACACAGAAGCACCAGATGCCCTGCTGACGGGTTTTTTGTTTGTAGACAGGGTCTCACTGGGCTCAAGTGATCCTTCTGCCTCAGCCTCCCAAAGTGCTGGGATTACAGGCGTGAGCCACCGCGCCTGGCCGCTTGCTGACACGTTTTTGGTTTGGGGCGGTCTCATAGGAGCTTTAGGTCTCACAGCACAAACCCCTGGAAGTCAGCCCAGGCCTACGCCACGTGCAGACTTTGGCGCTTTCCCAATCTCGGTATAAAGGTAAAGGATTCTCTTCCCAGGGGTTTGGGCCGGCCTAGTGTTGTTAGAGGCTGTCTTCTAGGAAAGCCTATGACAGACGGTTTGTGAAACTGGGCCATGCTGAGTGCCTGTAGACAGCGTTCCCGGAAGAGGAAAAAACAACCTTGGTCTTTATGTGGGACTCTCTAAGCACTATTTTTGGCTTTGTTTACATTTGAAGGTTAGATACGTGTCGATCCACGTGATTGACATTGAACATGGAAAAGGAGAATGAAAGAGTTTTGTCTGGAAGATTTATTTAGGAGGTTTGGAGATCTTGCACTACAGGAAGGTGAGCTGGAAGTAGGTACCAATTTGCCTTAAAAACATTTCCTTATATTTTCCTTTTAACTACCTGGCTTTTAAGGAATTCAAACGTAGGTGTCAGGATCTGAACTCTGTGGTTGATTACTGAGCAGGGACAGGAAGGGCTCCGTGGCTGGGGAGGCCGGGCTCAGGCTCCTCCTCTGTGCTGAGCCAGGGCGTGGCTCTAGCTGCTCGAGGAGCCGGAAAGGCGCCTGCACCGTGGGGGAGGCCGAGGGCCACCTGCCGCCTGCCTGTGGTTCTGTCAGCCGTGGCGCTACTCATAAACCTGCATCTGAATACATTTGCAAGGTGCAGCCACCCAAAAAGTGTATTTCCCACCTTTGTTCTGTTTTAAATTCAGTGCAAACATAAATTATCCTGAGGATCTTAATGCTACCTAATTTTGAGCCCCAGAGAGCCTTGAGGGAAGTGAGTGGGGGTGGGTGGGGGGTGTTCGAATCACAGTCCCCTCTGGCTCTTCCCTTCTGCAACTTCACCTACACAGAGAGATACCTGCTACCTGGACGGAGCAAGGGTGAGCTGGGCACAGAAGAAACGCACGCCCTTGGGGAAAGCTAGGAGCAGTAGACAGCCTAGGCAACGTATGTTCTGGAAAGGTGTCCCGGGGTTTCTCAGGGTGCAGCCTCCATTCCTTCCTTCCTTCCATTTGACCCGTGAGCAGCCTAGATGAGGGGGCCTATGGAGAGCTGGAGGTTCTGAAGGGTAGGGCTCGGCGCAGCGTGGCAGCCAGAGTCTGTGCAGACTGAAGGGATGCGGCCAGCCCTGGGCTGAGACATCCCTCCAGCAGGTGCCGCAGGGCAGAGGGGAGCCTTCTCCATCCCCCACGGGGAGAGTGGGTCTGCGTTTCCTCCCACAGCTTTCCACCCCTTAGCTCTGCAGACAAAAGTAGGGTCCTTCCTCTGCTGCTTCTGTACCTTTTGTGGTCCAGAGATGTCCCCGGCTGATGTCACTATACCATCTGGAGGTCTAACGGCAGGCACGAGTGCTCAAGTCAAGGCCAAATGGGCACTCAGTGCGACCCTGGAGAAGCAGCTGACACACCAAGGGGCGGCCACGTGCCTGCTGGCAGCCTTCACACCCTCATCCCGGGTCTGAGGGCGCTGGCAACACAGATGCCTGCCTCCCCTCTCAGGAAAGGGTTGCAGGGCCAGGGGAAGGGCGGCCTCCTCCGGGCGGGTGCGCAGAGCCAGGGAACCCGTCTGGATGGTGGCTTTTTCCCACCATCCTTCTCTGGCAGCAGCAGTTCAAGGCGGGGCTTCCAGGCTGTCCCATACATTTCACGATTTCGGAGTTTTTCGCTTCAATTAAAAAAAAAAAAAAAAACTGGGGGCATGCCCGAGCCCCGCCTCTGCCCACCTCCTCCTCCCTCACCGCAGGGCTCCCTCCTTTCTCCCTCCACTGCTGCGCTCTGCCGTCTGCTCCCGCCAGGGGTCCCCACCGTCTCTGCGGACCGAGGAGCCGCCTCCCAGGCCCGGGCGTGCCCAGGGCTGGTGGAGGGCGTGGGGCGTGGGGCGGGCGGGTATTTCCTGACCCGCTGGAGGAGCCGGCCCCACAGGCTTGTGGCCTCCCCAGAGCCGGTGAGCCAGGAACTTCCTACTTCAAGAGGCTTCCCCAGTGCAGCAGAAAAGCAACTAGTAGTCCTCACTGCTCCCGACCTCTGTGATGTCTACACCCGCGGGAATGCGGGCCCCAAACCAGCAGGCTCTGCTGTAGGCGCCTCAGCGCTGGTGCGGCTCTTGGAGAAGGCTCGGGCGGGGCGGGTGGGGCGTGGGGGGGGTTCACAGGTGGAGACAGCCCGTCTCCGCCCCGCAGACTGCTGGGCGCAGTCCCGAAAAATTCTTCCCAAGTGGACTTTTTTGCTGACAACCTAGAGGAGAGGGTTCCGGGTAGGATAACGGTAGGTCCCCCTTGTTCCCTTGTGCCACGCTATGTCACACTGGGAACCAGAGATTGCCAGTGGCGCCTTGAAGCCAGCTGCACGCACTTGTGGGAGAGGTTCCCAGTGGCCCCTTATTGGTGCCCTCACCTCCTGCCCTCTGCAAGTGAGGACGCTTGGCATCAGCAGAGCTGCCAGGCCTGTACTTCGTATAGCTGCGAATACATCATTTCCTGGACAACTGTTTTCCTAAAACAGTGCTTAAAAAAAAAAAACAACCACCTCGGGACACAGAGAAGTGTGGGCACAAACCGATTGTATCTTTCCCCAAAAGGCCAGGTGAAATTTTCAAAGCAGGCTGTGGAAACGGGGCCTCCCGCTGCACATGTCCAGCGGCTGCCCGGCACAAAGCGGCTGCCCTTTTGAGCTGTCCACATGAAACAGCTCCGCACTGCCTGCAGCCTCACAGAAACTGATTCCAGCCACGCCACCAGGAGTACCAGCTTGAGCACTGGTGACACGAGATCAATGAAACTCAGGCGCGCCCACATTTCACCACCACCTCCTGCCCCAGCCCCAAGCAATGGGGTCCCCAAAGAGCTAGAGTAGCAACCAGTTGAATGTGCATGCAAAAAATACTCCTAGCCATAAGGAGCCTTTCAGAATCCTTGCACTAAATCAGCCCGAATTTCATGTCACCACGGTCTAAGAGCCTCCCCCTCCACTGTGGATGGGGGTGGAATTTAGAGCTGTTTAGGTCTCCAGCTCCTCCCAGGGGCCAGCTCCCCAGCCCAGGGGGTTTCCAATGACACCAGACTGCTTCCGCAACTAGGGTCATGTCTTCATGCAACATAATAGTCCCATGACACGGTGCCAGAAGTTATACTTTATTTTAACACGTAGAGGATTAACATATAGTTACAAGGTCAATATAAGCCTTCCAATGGAAGCTCTTTATTTGGTTTAATTCCATCTCCAGAGACAAACAGGCAACTCTAGGACCTTTACAGTGGCGACTGGCCTCACACAGCAAAATGCCTCCAAAGTTTAAAATTAGTGCAACACACACACGAACGTCTTAAAGGTGCTCAATATCAGGTTAAAATAGAATTCTGGACCTTTTAAAAAAGTTTTTGGATGATAATAAGCACAGGAGGCAGAGCCAATAAGAAACATGAAACCAGTATTTCTGGAAAAACACTTAGTATTAACGTCACTTTTTTGACGTCGTGTAAACTTTCTTCTGTAATGACAGATGTTACCAAAAGCCATCGAGACCTTTGTGCTGTGCTGGTTAGACAGGCTGCAGGCTTATCTCCAAGGTGAGCGGGATAAAACCCCCCACGGAACAGCCCATGACAACCTTCCGTGCCTTTTTATACTTTCCCATCCTGCAAATGAAAAACTGGGTAAAGGACAAGTTCCTCTCTTTCATTTTGTTTCTAAGTACTTTTCAGGGCAGGCTCTTTTACAATTAGTCATCTTAACAACACAACAGTATTCTAGCACGGCGGTGAAGTGACAGGCGGCAGATATGGGGCAGGAAGGAGACGCTCACGGGAAATTCCACGTTCTACTCTATGTGAACTGCTCCAGAAAAATACAGACATGATTTCACAGTAGGATTCCCAGAGTCAGTGATACATAGGACAACTGACCTCCTTTAAGAAGCCCGGCTGGGGCAGCAGTGAGCTTTCCATGGAGCCACGCGGACGGGCCAGGAAGCAACACCCAGGTTCAGCATTTAAGAGCACTCGCTGTAACATTCTTTTCGGACACGGGTGGTGGAAAAATTTAAAAACGTGGAGGAGTGACGGGGATATAAGCGTATCCTATACTGGGGGTGACGGTCATTCAAAGAGCAAATTACTGCAGCTTATACCTTTTTCACTATGTTGCAAGAAATGAATCTATCCTGACCCATCATATGAAAGATGTGATGCACATGCAGATCCCATTTTAAAGAACCGTTTCACATCCTCGTGGAGTGGAGAGTGGTCCACTTGAGTTGGTGAGGTCAGAAGTTCCTGGAGATCCCTGTCGGCCCTGTTGGCGGGGGAGCCCTTGCGGAGCTGTGCAGGCTGCCGCACTCTCCATGCACCTGTTGGTTTGCAGGGACAGAGGCGCGGCCCTGACTCTTCTCACCCTGAGTCATCCCAGCTTGTCTTTTGTCTGTCAAGTTGGTCCTCCTGCATGTAATGGGTGCACCACGCTTAGGTCACGGGTTGCAGGGACCGGAAGCCCATGGCTCTGCCGCAGCCCTGAGCCTTCAGTGGGCGGTTTGCAGTCCCCCAGGGAAGAAACAGTCAGAGAGGCTCATGCTCACCCACTTTAAAAACCCGAAGCCACTTCCTCTTCACCTGCCTGGGCCTCCGTGCTTGTGGCTTCTCGTCCCGGAGGGCTGGCGGAGCTGCTCCGGAAGGGTGCTGTGTGGTCAACCCTGGTTGGCTGAGAGGAGCAATTTCCTGGTTTCCACGAGTAAAGACGGCCCCATCCCTTGGGACCTGTCCTTTCTGTCCCTGTCCCTTTGGCTTCTATAGGACTTCCTTGTCTCACATTCGTAAACAGCAAGAGAAACCGAGGATGCTTGAGGGGACCACCTAAGTTACAAAGCCAAGCAAATAAAGCCGCCTGACGCCATCCCTAGGCTTCGGTGGCGCTCTCAGTCACAGGAGCTCTCAGCCAATGGTTCCTCTTGACTGTTTCTGCACCAAATGAGAGGAGGGGCTGCTCTGCTCTAAGGTGTGGGGGGCCACAGATTAGGGGATCTCAAGTTTTCCTCAAAGACCCACACGGGGAAAGAAACTTAGCTCTAAAAGCAAACTCAACTAATTCCACATGACCTGAAGAGCAGGTGATAAATGGGGTGGTGGCGGCGGGATCCCTCAACGGACCACGAGAGGCACGGGGTCTTTGGTGATTAAAGTGCTAACCTTGGTGGGGTGCAGTAGCTCACGCCTGTAATCTCAGCACTTTGAGACGGGCGGATCACCTGAGGTCACGAGTTCAAGGCCAGCCTGACCAACACGGTGAAACCCCATCTCTACTAAAAATGCAAAAATTAGCCAGGTGTGGTGGTACACGCCTGTAATCACAGCTATCTGGGAGGCTGAGGCAGGAGAATTGCTGGAACCCAGGAGGCGGAGGTTGTAGTGAGCCAAGATCATGCCACTGCACAACAAAGCGAGACTCCATCTCAAAAACAAAACAAAACAAAACAACAAGAAGTGCTAACCTCTTCAGATGCTAATCTTGGGGCTCCTGGAAAGGACAGGATGTTCGCTTTCCAATGAGCCGGTGCAGAGGGGAGGGAGGGCCTCGCTCGCAAGCACATGGTCTACAGTTCTCAGGGACAGGGAAGTGACGCAGAGGACAGGCGTGGGCTCCTCACAGCCGGTGGACACAGGTGAGCCAACAAGGCGAGCTGGAATTCGACCTCCAGCGTGGACCTTCCCAGGCCACTGAAAACAGGGCGCCAAACCAAAATGTGTGCGCACGCGTGTGTACTGGTGGGTGTGCCTGTGGGTGTGTGTGCACCTGCCCCCCGCCCACCAGATGCTCTCAGTTCGAGGGGATAGTGAAAGGGTCAATGTTTAGTATGAGGTGCAAGCCTAGAATCCAAAAAGGACCACTGAGGACCTCACAGACTCGGGAGAAAAGGAAGCGTTTTCTACAGCAGACAGTCGGGGACACAGGGATGACATCGAGTGCTCAGTCCGCCTGGTGTGCGCCGGACCTGCCTTGTCTCCTCAGGGGACCCGTGATGACATTTTCACTAAAGGCACTGTGTGAAGCGCGGAAGGGCCGCCAGGACGGGCCCGGGTGGACTGAGGGCCCAGGAAGGAGCAGGCGGGGGTGTGTGTCCCACCGTCTCAGTGGCCTGCGCGGGGTGGGTTGGGGGAGCGATGAGGACTGACCCGAGCCGTGGGGGTGGGCGCTGGCGAGGCTTGTCCCCCACGAGGTGGCCCGGGCTGGGCGGGAGGGCAGGGCCGCAGGGAACATGCTGTAGAGAGAGAGACCGCCCCGCAGGGATGGGGCTGCGGAGGGATGGGCCGTCCACAGGGCAGGGCACTGGAGGCCTGTGGGGACAAGCAGACGGAGGCTCCTCCAGGAAGGTTCACCTGAGGCTCGCAGGCACTCCCCTCTAGGAATCTACAACACAAAGAGAAACAGAAAGAGAAACTCGCCGTTAGAGAGGATGGCGCGGGTTCCAGGCGGGCATTTTGCTCTTGGCTACAAACTGCACCGCCCTGGGAGGGGAGGGTAGTGGGAGGGGAGGGAAGGGGTGGGAGGGGGCATCTCAGAGCAATTGGTTACCACAGGGCAGGTCTGAGATGAGGAACTTTCACGGTTTTCTCTCTAGCCTTTAGCTGGTCTTTCCTTCAGGGTTAAGAGAAGCCCAAACAGGAGACTGATGAGGCCATCCGCCCCAGCTCATCTTTCTTACAAGTTTAGAGAGAAAGTAAGAAACGGAGGCCAGGGCCGGGCGTGGTGGCTCACGCCTGTAATCCCAGCACTTTGGGAGGCTGAGGCAGGCAGATCACGAGGTCAGGAGTTCAAGGCCAGCCTGGCTAACGTGGTAAAACCCCGTCTCTACTAAAAATACAAAAATTAGCCGGATGTGGTGGTGGGCACCTGTAATCCCAGCTACTTGGGAGGCTGAGGCAGGAGAATCGCTTGAACCCAGGAGATGGAGGTTGCAGTGAGCCAAGATTGGGCCACTGTACTCCAGCCTGGATGACAGAGCAAGACTCCATCTCAAAAAAAAAAAAAAAACCAACCAAACAAACAAACAAAAAAAAACGGAGGCCGGTGCAGTGGCTCACACCTACAATCCCAGCACTTTGAGAGGCTGAAGAGGGAGGATCACATGAGCTCAGGAGTTCGAGACCAGCCTGGGCCACAACATAACCAGACCTCATCTCTACAAAAAAATTTGTTTAATTAACCGGCACGTTGGCACTGCCGTAGTCCCGGCTATTCGGGAAGGTGAGTTGGAAGGATGGCTTGAGCCCAGGGAGGTCGGGGCTGCAGTGAGCCAGGATCGCGCTGCTACACTTCAGCTTGGGCGACAGAGGGAGACCTCTACTCCAAAAAGAAGAGAAAAGAAATGCATCCGTTTCCTAGAATGGTACAAGGAACATGAAGGCCCGATTCTCTCAGAAGGAAACTCTTGGGTCTTTGGCAGCACAATGTAAAATCTTTGGTGAAAAGCAAAACCTGTCGTTCTGTATTCATTCAGCAATAAACCGTGAAAAGCTCGTCATCTCAAGGAGAGAGAAAAGAAACAAAAGAAACACAGACTTCTCAGGCCCTGAGTGCACACAGGATCAGACGCGGGAGGTGCCGTCATTTAAAAAGGAGGAGGTGGGGGCGGGAGGCAGAATTTTTAAAAAAGCATTGGGCTAGAAAATTCCCTATTACTGGAGATGAAAGAGTTAAATATTCACATTACACAGAATAATTTTCTTGGAAACATGAAAAGTCACTTAAAATACACAATACTGAGAAAAAATATAACATTTATTAGAGAGGCGGATATGAGGGTACAACTAAAAGATGCCAGAGTCTTTTCTTTTAGAATGAGAATAGAAAGAGACAATCATGTTGCTGTATTCAAACAAAACTTACTCAGAACCCCAGAGTTTCTAATAAACTCCAGTGCGGAGCCGCAGCGGGGACCTAGCTCCCCGTGCGAGACGCTTCGCGGCTTTCCGGCAGTTATAAAAACAGAAAGGTCATTAGGCAGCAGGAGAACCCATAAAACAAACAGATAAAAGTACAACATTAAAACAACTCATTCAAGTACTGCTTTGAGTTTTTAAGTTGCAGTCTATACACATGTATTCTGTGGGGGGAGTTATGAAAATATTTAACAGAGAGCAATCGAAAAATCGAAAAACCATAAAAGAAAGTCACAATGCAATGGACCCACCGGAAGTTACTCTAAATAGTTTGGCAATTATTAAATAAGCACATCGTAGACACCACACACACACACACACACGGTGCACCGGCATTATAACAATAAAACAGCTGCACTGAATTATGGGCCTAAGAAAACAGTGGCTTTGCCCCATCAGATGGGTTTAAGGAGGGCAGTGTTTGTGGGCAAGTTGGACAGAGTTATAAACAGAGTAGGGCGGAAAGGCTTCTCTGTACGTATTCTTAATCTCTAAGTGTAACTTTCAAATAAAAGGAGAAAATTATATAAGTAGCTGAGATTTTGCTGTTTTTATTTTAACAGAGAACTGCTAGAAGATAATAAAGTATACTTTGGGTGGAAATGGAAATTCCTGGTTCTTTGGAATTTGGTTTTCTAATATTTCAAGCATTGATGAGATGGACCTGAAATTTACAAAATATCTTTAACTGTTTAGTCAATATTACAGAGATTCACCTGGTACAGCACTGAGACATACAACGTAATGATCACACATTTAAAATTATCATAAATGGATGTGCCCAGACCCCTCCCACCCCATTCCCCCTGAAACCAACTGAGCTGTTTTCTGAATGAAATTTGAATAACGAAATAACTAAATTTGAATAATTAAATAAGAAAAAAAAAAAAACCACATAGTTTGACCGAACGCCTTTTTGCAAAACCGACTTTTACAAGGTTAATGCCGTCTCCCTATTTTCGAGTTTTTCAGTGGCTGCTTTGCTTTGTCCAGGAGTTCACAGACTGGAAATGAGTTTGTCATCGGATAGAAAGGTCGGATTTTAACACCTTAGGTTTCCCATTCACTTGTTTACTGGGGTAAAGCTGGAAACTTCCTGCTGCTCATTTGAACAGATCCCTGTGGTTGAAGGGTCAGCTGATTTTCTCACTGCAGTGCTTACAAAGAGGCCTGGGGTCAGGATGGGCGGCTTGATTGATATTATGTCAGCAAAAGTATCCAAAAGTAATTTGGGCCTGGCACAGTGGCTCACCCTGTAATCCCAGCACTTTGGGAGGCTGAGGTGGGCGGATCACTTGAGCTCAAGAGTTTGAGACCAGCCTGGCCAACATGGTAAAAACCCGTCTCTACTTAAAAAAACAAAAAACAAAAAACAAAATTAGCCGGGTGTGGTGGCGGGCACCTGTAATCCCAGCTACTCGGGAGGCTGAGACACAAGAATTACTTGAACCTGGGAGGCGGAGGTTGTAGTGAGCCAGGATTGTATTACTGCACTCCAGCCTAGGTGACAGAGAGTGAGACTCTGTCTCAAAAAAAAAAAAAAAAAAAAGAGGCCGGGCGCGGTGGCTCACACCTGTAATCCCAACACTTTGGGAGGCTGAGGCGGGCGGATCAAGAGGTCAGGAGATTGAGACCATCCTGGTTAACGCGGTGAAACCCGTCTCTACTAAAAATACAAAAAATTAGCTGGGCGTGGTGTGGGCATCTGTAGTCCCAGCTACTCGGGAGGCTGAGGCAGGCGAATCGCTTGAACCCAGGAGGCAGAGGTTGCAGTGAGCCGGGATTGTGCCACCGCACTCCATCCTAGTGACAGAGCGAAACTCCATCTCAAATTAAAAAAATATATATATGTTTTTTAAAGAATCAGGCTGTCACCAAGTAAAGGTTAACAGGCTGTGAGAATCTTGAAACACAGCCACAAGCAACCACAACCCCCACTGGGTTCTGGAGCCCGAATGTGCAGCTACTGCTTGGAAAATCAGTTTTAAATGGACTTGAGCTGATAAAATGAACCCACCAGGTAGAGGGAGGGGCTAATTTCCCACTTGAAAGTAGGAGGGACACAAGGAAATCACTTTCACAATCAAATGAAAAGAGAATCTGAGCCAGCGCCTTCATTCTGACCCATTTGTAGTGGGTTCTCTATGATCTCGGGGTGGATTCTTGAAATGGGCACAGTGAAATGCCTGGCAACCATCTACGCATGCGACCAATTTCACTATCTAACCTCCCACATCAATGCCAATTTGAAAATGCAAATTCTCATGTGGCCTAGATTCCTTTCGATGTGATGAGACATTTTATTTCATTCTGGCTACAGTTAATTGTATAAAATGAGCCAGAAATTCTAAAATCATTTCCAGTAAATCCAAACTTTGCCAATGATTGAAAGCAAAAACAAAAACAAAAACAAAAAACAAAAGCAAACCCCCAAACTCTCTGAACAGCGATGTGCTGAGATCTGAGATCTGTGTCTGTGGGGAGAAGCATTTGTTGCCGCACCATGTTTTATTTATAGCCCCACCTGGGCAAGCATGGATGCAGCTCTACTTGTAAAACCAACAGAAACAGAACCAAGTGTGAGAGAAAATCACAAGGAGCTGACGCATGGACATGCTCTGCTTTTAAGTAACTGCATCTAAACAGCACTAGCACATCTGATCAACTGTCAATTTGGGCCGGGTGCAGTGGCTCACGCCCGTAATCCCAGCACTTTGGGAGGCAGAAGCAGGCAGATCACTTGAGGTCAAGAGTTTGAGACCAGCCTGGCCAACATAAGTGAACCTGTCTCTACTAAAAATACAAGAATTAGCTGGGCGTGGTGGTGCGCACCTGTAACCCCAGCTACTCGGGAGGCTGAGGCACGAGAATCGCTTGAACATGAGGGAGGTGGAGGTTGCAGTGAGCCACTGTACTCCAGCCTGGGCAACAGAGCCAGACCCTGTCTCAAAACAACAACAAAAACAACAAAAACACAAACACAACAACAAAAAAAACCTGTCAATTTGATGACATTTGGAAAATCAGCAATGCCGTGTAAAAATCAACTGGTCAATTCACTGAACTTTTCCAGGTTTCAGCTGGTTGTCTGGGATCATACAGATATAACAGGATACTCGTGATGCCCTACCAAGGATGCTGACCATGTTTAAGTAAAAATACACAGTTTAGATGCCAATATAAGAATCTTACTTACTCCTTTACTCAAGGAGGAGGAGATGTTATTTTACTTGTGACTTCCTCCCAAGTGAATGAGTGTACAATTTAACAAACTAGCACAGTTCAGTTTATTAAGTTACAATCTATAACCTCCTAATGTCGCTCAGTGTATGGTGGACACTAGATATAAAACAAGAATAGGGAAGTCTTTGGCACCTGCAAGATGTGTGCCGGCTTTTAAATTCAGAAAGATTGATTAGAAGCTACAATGCAAATTTTTTTTTTTAATCTACAGATACCACCAAAAGAAGAAATGCTTATCAGATTTCGAATGACACAGCTGTAAATTGGCGGTTGGCAGCTTTCCACATAAAATTTTCATCAGTAAGTGAAACTTGATCACAGCCCAAACTAGACAAGACAATTCAGGTGGCCGGACCCTGAAGTCCCCTGTGAGACTACAGGAACGCGTGCACTGTGGTGCTCGCCAGCCAGTCTCTTGAGGAACTGCCTGCAACAGTCACGGTTGTGGGGAGAAACAACTCCATTTTTTTTTAAGGTTTTTTTTTTGTTTTTTTTTTAATGGTATTAAATATAAGTCTTAGCACCTTTGGCATTTTTGTCCAAACAGACTTCGACATACGAAGTGGGGACATAACCCTCTTCATCTTCATTTCTCCGAATGCGGGTCCAGCCATCGCCTTTGTCTTCCTCGATGACATACAGTGTTTCTCCTTCAACCACGGAGATCGTTCCTTCATTCTGACCTGAAAAAGCAACATCAGGGTATTTTAGATGTCTTGGCAAACGCAGGTAGAAAGCCAACAGTGGCCTTTGCAATGAAACAAGTGTCATCAAAGATGAAGTCCATGCAAAATTCACCCCACTTGGTCCTTCTCTGACACACTGACCCCTCACCCACTGCCTCAAAACCGTCTCCTTCTGCACAGAAATGTCGGGGTTCTTACCTCTGTCTCTCTAGGGACCCTCTCTAAGGCCTCCAGGGGCCTCTTTCTCCTCCCTCCCAGAATGGCAAGTGTTTCCCCACCGGGAAAATCTTTGGGCCTCTTCTCTAGTCTTCTTCTGTCTCCCTTGGATCTCTCTTGGGGGAAAGGTACCCCCATGGCTCCAACTGCTTCTCTTTTGTCTGCTGGTTTTCTTGGGGGGAGTTGGGGGGATGGAGTCTCGCTCTTGTTGCCCAGGCCAGAGTACTGTGGTGCGATCTCAGCTCACTGCAGCCTCCGCCTCCCCGGTTCAAGCAATGCTCCTGCCTCAGCCTCCCAAGCAGTTGAGACTATAGGTGCGCACCACACCCAGCTAACCTTTGTGTTTTTAGTAGAGATAGGGTTTCACCATGTTGGTCAGGCTGGTCTCAAACTCCTGACCTCAGGTGATCCACCTGCCTCAGTCTCCCAAGTTTTTTGTTTTGAGACACAGTCTTGCTCTGTTGCCTAGGCTGGAGTATGATGGTGCGATCTCTGTTCACTGCAACCTCTGACTCCCGGGTTCAAGTGATCCTCCTGCCTCGGCCTCCCGAGTAGGTGAGATTACAGGCATGTGCCACCACGCCCGGCTAATTTTGTATTTTTAGTAGAGACAGGGTTTCACCATGTTGGTCAGGCTGGTCTCGAACTCCTGACCTCAGGTGATCTGCCCCCTTGGCCTCCCAAAGTGCTGGGATTACAGGCGTGAGCCACCACGCCCGGCCCAGCTGCTCCTCCTTAAACACTGTCCTCACATACTGCTTCCATTCTGGTACTTTCTGTAGCCAAGATTCCACTTTTCCTCCTGTCTGCAGCACACCGCCACCTAGACATGGCCCCAACACCTGAAACAACACAGACGAGCCTGGATTCACTGTTCTTCCTCCTAACTGTATCCTCCTCCTACTTTTCCACTTCCCCAGACCTCTCCATCCTCTCAGGAATGCAACTCTGGGAGCCATCTTGGCTTTCCTCTCCTTTTTCTTCCTGGCTTCTGATCAGCCCCAAATCTACGCAGTTTGTCAATGGCGGCATCTCTGTATCCATTCCTTGAACAAGGCCCCCAAGACCTTCTGTTAGGATCATTTCAAAGGCTGCCCACGCCCCCCCCCCACCGCAGTTTTCTGCAAGGCAAAGAGTTTAGGGAGCTGTTAATAGGGCAACAGGGAATGGCGGGGGGATGGTTGGAATATGAAGTAAAACTGGGAACATTTAAACTAGTACTTCTTTCTTATTTTGTCACAATGAACATACAGTTTATTAAAGGCTCTGAAAAGTCCTGTAGTAAAGAAATCTGTAAACTGTATTTATCCCAGGGCTTCCCAAACTTACTTGAGCTCTGATTGCTATTTTTAAAAAATTTATTCATTATATTAAAATGCAACTTTTTCATAATTTTATTATTATTTATTTTTTTAGAGAGACAGGGTTTCACTCTATTGCCTAGGCTGCAGTGCAGTGGTACGATCATAGCTCACTGTAGCCCTGAACTCCTGGCCTCAGCCTCCCAAAGTGCTGGGATTACAGGTGTGCTGCCACTGAGCCTGGCCTGATAGCATCTTTCAAGGCTTCCTTATTAATGTTCTGCAGGACATCATTTCAAGGTTCATCAGTTTAGAAACACTAAACTAGTTTATCTTTTCTTTTCTTTTCTTTCTTTTTTTTTTTGAGACAGAGTTGCCCTCTGTTGCCCACACTGAGGGCAGTGGCGCAATCTCGGCTCACTGCAACTGCCGCCTCCTGGGTTCGAGCAATTCTCATGCTTCAGCCTCCCGAGTAGCTGGGATTACAGGTACCTGCCACCATACCTGGCTAATTTTTGTATTTTTAGTATAGATGGGGTTTCATCATGTTGGCCAGGCTGGTCTTGAACTCCTGACCTCAGGTAATCTGCTCACCTCAGCCTCCCAAAGTTCTAGGATTACAGGCATGAGCCACCGCGCCCAGCCTAGGCTGGTCTTTCTAACCATCCTCCCTGTTTTCTAGTTGATCCTACACATCTGACAATGACTTTCCTAAGGCACAGCTCTGACTGCATCAACACCCTGTTAGAGGCTGAGCTTCAATAGCTCCTCAATGTTTGCCACGTAAAATCCAGATGTTTCTCTGACCTCGCCCCCATTGGCACTTCCCACTTTTTAGTGCCACATTTCACTATTAGGACTTAAGATATCTAAGCTCCAGCCACACAATGCCCATTTTTGGCCACACTCCCCATGCCATGGCAAGTTCTCCAAACTTCCTTAAGGAAGTGACCTCATTCTTCCCTGTCCTCCCCATTCCTCTGCATCCCTCCTCTGGCAAACACTGCAAGCTGTCCGCCTTTATTTTTAATTTAATTTAATTTTTATTTATTTTTTTATTTAGAGACGGAGTCTTGCCCTGTCACTCAGGCTGGAGTGCAGTGGCGCGATCTCGGCTCACTGCAAACTCCGCCTCCCGGGTTCACGCCATTCTCCTGCCTCAGCCTCCCGAGTAGCTGGGACTACAGGCGCCCGCCACCTCGCCCGGTTAATTTTTTTTTGTATTTTTAGTAGAGACGGGGTTTCGCCGTGTTAGCCAGGATGGTCTTGATCTCCTGACCTTGTGATCCGCCTGCCTCAGCCTCCCAAAGTGCTGGGATTACAGGCATGAGCCACCGCGCCCGGCCTATTTTTATTTTTTGAGAGGGAGTCTCGTCTGTTGCCAGGCCGGAATAAAGTGGCATGATCTTGGCTCACTGCAACCTCTGACTCCTGGGTTCAAGTGATTCTCCTGCCTCAGCCTCCCGAGTAGCTGGAATTACAGGCGTGCACTACCATGCCCAGATAATTTTTGTATTTTTAGTAGAGATGGGGTTTCACCATGTTGGCCAGGATGGTCTCGATCTCCTGACCTCATGATCCACCCGCCTCAGCCTCCCAAAGTGCTGGGATTATAGGCATGAGCCACTGTGCTCAGCCACTGCTCGCTCCTTAAGTGTGTCTGCCTGATCTCCCTCCAGGCAGGTGCCATATTATACGACCTGCATCTCCCCTCTTCACGGGCCTTTACAAGACAGGACCGCTATAGATATTAAATATTAAATGAATGGATGAAATGATCATCCTCCATATCATCCGCTGCAGTGAAGCAAGAACCAAAAGTCAAAATATACAACCAAATAATAATCATACCATGAGTAGGATAAAAGCATAGTAGAGAAAGATCTGGAAGGCTGCTGCTGCTTTTTTTTTTTTTTTTTTTTTTTTTTGAGACAGAGTCTGGCTCTGTCCCCCAGGCTGGAGTACAGTGGTGCTATCTCAGCTCACTGCAAACTTTGCCTCCTCAGTTCAAGTGATTCTCCTGCCTCAGCCTCCCAAGCAGCTGGGATTACAGGCACATGGCACCACGCCTGGCTAGTTTTTGTATTTTTAGTAGAGATGGGATTTCACCATGTTGGTGACGCTGGTCTTGAACTCCTGGCCTCAAGTGATCTGCCTGCCTTAACCTCCCAAAGTTCTAGGATTACAGGTGTGAGCCACCGCACCCAGCCAGATCTGGAAGGCTTCTAAAGAAGGTTCTGGTCACAGAAAGAGAAGAGTGTGGCTAGGCACAGTGGCTCACACCTGTGATCACAGCACTTTGGGAGGCTAAGGCGGGAATACTGCTTGAATCCAGGAGTTCAGCACCAGCCTGGGCAACATAGTAAGACCGTGTCTCTACTGAAAAGTACAAAAAGTACAAAAGTACAAAAATGAGCTGGACATGGTGGTGCTTGCCTATAGTCCCAGCTACTCAGGAGGCTGAGGTTGGAGGATCACTTGAGCCCAGGAGGGCAAGGCTGCAGTGAGCCATGATTGCACCACTGCACTCTAGCTTGGATAAGAGAGTGAAACCCTGTATCAAAAAAAAAAGAAAGAGAGAGAGAGAGAGAGAGTGAGAGAGGAAGGAAGGAAGGAAGGAAAGAAGGAAGGAAGGAAGGAAGGAAGGAAGGAAGGAAGGAAGGAAGGAAAGAGGGAGGGAGGGAAGGAGGGAGGGAGGGAAGGAGGGAGGGAAGGAGGGAGGGAGGGAAGGAAGGAAGGAGGGAAGGAAGGAAGGAAGGAAGGAAGGAAGGAGGGAAGGAAGGAGGGAGGGCAGGAAGGAAGGGGGGAGGGAAGGAAGGAAGGAGGGAAGGAAGGAGGGAGGAAAGGAAGGAAGGAAGGAGGGAAGGAAGGAGGGAAGGAAGGAGGGAGGGAGGGAAGGAAGGAAGGAGGGAAGGAAGGAAGGAGGGAGGGAGGGAAGGAAGGAAGGAGGGAAGGAAGGAAGGAGGGAGGGAAGGAAGGAAGGAGGGAAGGAAGGAGGGAGGGAGGGAAGGAAGGAAGGAAGGAGAGAGGGAAGGAAGGAGGGAAGGAAGGAGGGAGGGAGGGAAGGAAGGAAGGAAGGAGGGAGGGAAGGAAGGAGGGAGGGAAGGAAGGAAGGAGGGAGGGAAGGAAAGAAGGAGGGAAGGAAGGAAGGAGGGAAGGAAGGAAGGAGGGAGGGAAGGAAGGAAGGAAGGAGGGAGGGAAGGAAGGAGGGAGGGAAGGAAGGAGGGAGGGAAGGAAGGAGGGAGGGAAGGAAGGAGGGAGGGAAGGAAGGAAGGAGGGAAGGAAAGAGGGAGGGAAGGAAGGAAGGAGGGAAGGAAAGAGGGAGGGAAGGAAGGAAGGAGGGAAGGAAGGAAGGAAGGAAGGGTGAAAGAAGAGTGACTCAGCTATTACGGTTTTTAAAAGGCAAGGGAATCTAGCGGACACGAAATGTCACCTTCAAACGTGTAGAGAGCTTTGCATGTCCCTATGGCAGGGAGGGGCTCCTCATCATCAAACTCGTCGTCAAAATCCGTGGCCAGCACCTTCACCTCACTCTCCTGACTCTGCTCCTCTGTGTAACTGCCATCTGGGCTGCTCAAGAAAGGAAAACACAAAGCAACTAAAGCGACTGACCCCAGGGAGGACTCAGGTTGAGTCCCTGTGACTGGAGAGCGCTTGCAACCCCCGCCCCTCAGCGAGTGCTGCAACTGAGACTGCGGTAAATCATCCGCAGGCTCAGATCCCACACCCCATGTGGCAATGGGGAAAAGTGACAGGTCAATTGTAACAGACATTTTGGCATTGAACAAGTGCCTTATGCTCATTCCAGATTCCGAAATTTAGAAATAAATACAAAGCCAACAGGCTCCCTTGCCAGAGGCAGGCGCTGTGCAGATACTGTACCTCTCGCGGTCCTGGGCGCAGTTGTTGACCGTGGGCGGGTTCTGGCTGTCGTACAGTCCGCTCTGCCGGCGCGCCTGCTCGCTGCGTGCTGGGAGCCGGCCTTCAACCTCAGCCAGCCAGGCCTGGAGACAAAAGCAATGAGAGACTCCACCCTAAGGCCATCTGAGGGCCAGCCCAGAGCGTCCTAAGGTCCCAAACTCAGGGGCTGCTCTTGGCCATTTAACCCAATGTGAGAAAGTCCGCACCGGGGCGGAATGGCCACGTGTCCTGCATTCGACTGTTTAAATGTACTCAAGGGCGGCTGCTTCCATTTCACCCAAAGTTGGAGACATAGAAACAAAGTCATATTTATGTGGTTGCCCACGACGAGGCAGAAAGCACACTGGACTACGCTGTCCCCTTGGGCTTTTTGTTTTTTTTTGTTTTTTTTGAGACGGAGTCTCACTCTGTCGCCCAGGCTGGAGTGCAGTGGCCGGATCTCAGCTCATGCAGCCGTCCGGGCCGCTTCTGCTAGAGTGCCAGGCCAGGGCTAGTTTTTTTTTTTTGTAGAAGGTCCGTCCGACTGGAGGGGCTCCAAGGCTGGGGGGCACGGGCCCTTGGGCTTTTAAGCAGCAGTGCAATCTTGGATAAGTCACTTCTAGTTTCCTTTTGACCATGAGGTCACCATGCGATACCCAAGGACACAGCCATGCTTAAGCAGTGACTCAGTTTGAAAGTCACACTTCCCATTTTTTAGGAGTGTAACTTTTTTTTTTTTTTAATAGAAATGAAACTTGTACTTAAAAATTAAAGTAGATAAAATGATCTTCAGCAACACTGGAAACGGTATAAAGAAGTCAAAGGAATAAAAATGATCAGAAGGCTGGGCACGGTGGCTCACGCCTGTAATCCCAGCACTTTGGGAGGCTGAGGCAGGTGAATCACTTGAGGTCAGGAGTTTGAGACCAGCCTGGCCAACATGGTGAAACCCTGTCTCTACTACAAATACAAAAATTAGCTGGGTGTGGTGGCACATGCCTGTAGTCCCAGCTACTAGGGAAGCTGAGGCACGAGAATCACTGGAACTCAGGAGGTAGATGGTGCAGTGAGCTGAGATTGCACCACTACACTCCAGCTTGGGTGACAGAGCAAGACTCTGTCTCAAAAAAAAAAAAAAAAATCAGAAAAGGACTGTTCTAAGTTCTAAATGCTCAAATGAACATTACTGATGGATTCTGAAAACAATGAAAAAAGCTGGCCGGGCACGGTGGCTCATGCCTGTAATCCCAGCACTTTGGGAAGCCAAGGTGGGTGGATCGTCTGAGGTCAGGAGTTCGAGACCAGCCTGGCCAACATGGCAAAAACCCCGTCTCTACTAAAAATACAAAAATTAGCCGGGTGTGGTGGTGCACACCTGTAGTCCCAGCTACTCAGAAGGCTGAGGCAGGAGAATCACTTGAACCTGGGAAATGTAGGTCACAGTGAGCTGAGATCACGCTACTACACTCCAGCCTGGGCAACAGGGCGAGACTTCATCTCAAAAAAACAGAATGAAAAAAGCCATAGTTAACCTTTCATTGCTGGAAACAATCTATTCTGATTGGTAGAATCGGTTGCTAATGTATTTTTCCACGCTCTGTAGTCTTTAAATGTGGTGTAGAGAGTGGGTTCAGGAGGCTTTTGTTGACAGCTTTTGAGTGCTCCTCTCCCTCCCTCCAACTTTTATTATTTATGTTTCCTGCTTGTTTCTCATTTGTGTTTCCTGCTGGTTCTCACACACACACACCCTTTCCATAATGGGCCCGCTGAAAGAACAATTGTATATTTCAGGGGATTTTTTTTCATTGCTTTTTTGATTCACTGGGATAATGGATCGCTCTATACTCCCAATTTTATTATCATGAGATGAAGCAGAATAACTTAAAGTACAAAAAATACTGGCCGGGCACAGTGGCTCACAGCTGTAATCCCAGCACTTTGGGAGGCTAAGGTGGGAGGATGGCTTAAGGCCAGGAGTTCAAGACCAGTCTGTGCAACAGAGCAAGACCCCGACTCTAAAACAAATAAAAAATTAAAAAATAAAACTTAGCCAGGTATGGTGGCATGTGTAATCTCAGCTCCTCAGAGGCTGAGCCAAGGAGGTCAAGGCTGCAGTGAGCTATAATCATGCCACTGTACCCCAGCCTGGGCAACAGAGCAAAATCCTATCTCTAAAATTAAAAAAACAAACAACCCCGCCAACCCCCCACTGTATACAAATACAACGTTAAACACTGTCAGGTTTTACAGACACGATTAAGATAGGCTAGGATGAGAAGCAGAATGTTCAGCGGCGAAGCTGTAGTTTTCCTTTGACCGTAACTCATGAAACAGCCTGCTGTTCCCATTGTGTCCCTCCCAGTGAGAGGACCGTCAGGGCCCCACGCCATTCTACACCGAGGAACACCTATTCTTCGTTTCCAACAAAGCTTTCCGCGACAGAAGTTTCATACCTCAAATTTCTGGGTCTCTAGTCGCAGTTTCTCTATATTTTGGCTGACTTCTGCTAATTTGTGATCCAAACTGGCTGGGTCTCCCATCTGAGGATTCTTTAGGTAGACATCTTTCATTTTTGTTATGGCATCTCTGAAAGAAAGAATGAGTAGAAAACTGTAAAGGTTATTCCTTTTTTTTTTTTTTTTTTGAGACGGAGTTTCACTCTTATCACTCAGGCTGGAGTGCAACGGTGTGATCTCGGCTCACTACAACCTTCACCTCTGGAGTTGAAGCAATTCTTGCTGCCTCAGCCTCCAGAATAGCTGGGATTACAGGTGTATGCCACCATGCCCACCTAATTTTTGTAGTTTTAGTAGAGTTGGGGTTTTGCCACATTGGCCAGGCTGGTCTTGAACTCCTGACCTCAGGTGATCTGCCTGCCTTGGCCTCCTAAAGTGCTGGGATTATAGGCGTGAGCTACCGCGCCTGGCAAAGGTTACTCTTATCAGCCAATATTCTACCACTTGGAAAACTATATGAATGGAAACGTGGGAAGATTAGAGTACGGATTATAAGGGACTATTGGGCCAGCTTCCATTCTGGAAATTCTCTATAGGAATTCTGCTACTAAGGGCTATAAATACAGAAGCTGATTTTTAAATTTCAGTTCCCTTCTCTGAATGGTTATCTCCTTATTGTCCCCGGTAAATGAGAAGCACAAATGAATCCTGTTCTTCCCTTTGCCACATACACACAAAAAAGAAAAACAAAACCCAATAATTTTAAAAAATTTTTATTTATTTATTTATTTTTGAGACCAGGCTATGAGACTGGCTAATTTTTGTATTTTTGGTAGAGACTGCGTTTTGCCATGTTGCCCAGGCTGGTCTTGAACTCCTGACCTCAAGCAATCCACCTGCCTTGGCCTCCCAAAGTGCTGGGATTACAGGCGTGAGCCACCGAATCTGGCTTCAAAACCCAAGTATTTCCAACATGGTAAAACCCCGTCTCTACTAAAAATACAAAAATTAGCCAGGAGTGGTGGCATGTCCCCTTAATCCCAGCTACTTGGGAGGCTGAGGCAGGAGAATCACTTGAACCCAGGAGGTGGAGGCTGCAGTGAGCCAAGATCATACCACTGCACTCCAGCCTGGGCAACAGAGCAAGACTCCATCTCAAAAAACAAACAAACAAACAAAAAAAACCCCAAGTATTTCTACGTGTGCATTCTTCATGCAAACCAAAGCTACAGCTGGCATCCTGGGTCTCACGGGCTGCAATGTGCTCACCTGACGAAGAAGCACAGTTAATTGCTTTGGAAATGTTAACACACCCATTTCCACTGTTAAGAAACTGAATCCATAGTTGGTATCCACGACAGGTAAGCAACACAGCCTTATGGCTATACACTGTGGATCCCACATCCTTCCTGAAATCATGTTTGGAAGCAGCCCATGGTAGCCTGGGTAGGCATCCCTAGAGAAGTTGGGGGTAGGTTTGGGTTGAAGATCAAAGAGCTCTACTATTTTTACCCTTGTTTCTGGGCACTTTTGGTAGGCAAATGACTACCAGGGGAGAGCAAATGACTGCCAGGGTGAAGGAGCCAACTTTGATGAGTGTCGGCAAATGAAAATCCAAAGCAGGCCATACAAAACGATACAAGGCCGACAGACAAGCCAAAAGATACATTCTAAGTCATGAGAAATAGTTTAACTAAAAATACAGAAATAACAGGAAGAGAGCTTCCGCAAGTCCTCACCACCCTCCACCTAAGAGGCTGAGACCCACCTGCACTTCCAGCCGCCTTATCTTGTTTCTTTCCTCTTTTCCTTCCTATCTTCCTTACTTCCTTCCTGCCTTCTTTCCCACAGCATGCATCATTCATTATTATTATGCTTATTGTTCACTCTCTCCTCCTGTTACAATGGAAGCTCTTGGAGGAAGCTCTATGAGCTCAAGTTACGCTGTTAACTTGATGGATCCTGAGCGTCAAGGCCACCCCTGGCACGGAGTAGATGCTCGATGAATATTTGTTAAATAAATATATATTTAAATAAGTGAACATTTAAAAATAATGTTTATAAATAATTTTTAAATAAACATTTAAAAATAATGTTACATGTTTGTTCTTAAAAATGTTTAAACATTTATTTAACAAATAACAAACATTACAAGCCAAGTGTAATGTGGTCCATCCTTATGATGTCCTTTCTGAAACCCCTCTCTTGAGTTTACGGCCCACCCCTCCCGCTGCCTCCCTATTTCTTAGCAAAAGTCCTCAACAGAATTGTCTATATCCATTATCTTCAGGTCTTCTCCTCCCAGTCTTTCCTAATCAATCTCTCCACATGTTTATCAACTTTATGGATCTTTTTAAGGAACCAACTTTTGGATCTGTTGAATTGTATATTTTATTTATTTTTTATTATTTTTGAGATAGAGTGTCATTCTGTCGCCCAGGCTGGAGTGCAGTGGCATGATCTCGGCTCACTGCACCCTCTGCCTCCTGGGTTCAAGCGATTCTCCTGCCTCAGCCTCCTGAGTAGCTGGGACTACAGGTGACCCATCACACCCAGCTAATTTTTGTATTTTTAGTAGAGACAGGGTTTTGGCATGTTGGCCAGGCTGGTCTTGAACTCCTGACCTCAGATGATCCACCCACCTCAGTCTCTCAAAGTGCTGGGATTCCAGGTGTGAGCCACCATGCCCAGTGCTTCTATTTCCTTTGGGCTTAATTTGCTGTTCTTTTTCTAACGTCTTGAGATAGATCCTAAGTGAGGATCTAAGTGAGCTAAGGCTCACTGATTTTTACCTCTCTGTTTTTCATATGCATTCAGAACAATAAATCTCTTTATAAGCATGGCTTTAATGACATCCCACAAACTATATATAGAATGTATGTTAAAGTTCAATTCTATTTCATATACTTTCTAATATCTACTATGATTTTTTGTTTAGTTTGTGGCTTATTTAAAGGCATATTTCTTTTTTTTTTTTTTTGGAAACGGAGTTTTGCTCTTGTTGCCCAGGCTGGAATATAGTGGCACAATCTTGGCTCACCGCAACCTCCACCTCTTGGGTTCAAGCGACTCTCCTGCCTCATCCTCCCAAGTACAGACACGCACCACCATGCCCAGCTAATTTTGTATTTTTAGTAGAGACGGGGTTTCTCCATATTGCCCAGGCTGGTCTCTCCCTTTTTTTTTTTTTTTTTTTTTTGACATAGGGCCTCACTCTGTTGCCTAGGCTGGAGTGGAGTGGCATGATCATGGCTTACTGCAGCCAGGCCCTCCTGGGCTCAGGTGTTCCTCCCACTTCAGCCTCCTAAATAGCTGGGACTACAGGTGCACACCATCGTGCCTGGCTAGTTTTTTTTCCTTTTTTTTTTTTTAGGGGTTTTGCTATGTTGCCTGGGCTGGTCTTGAACTCCAGGGCTCAAGCAATCTTCCTGCCTCAGCCTCCCAAAGTGCTGGGATTACAGGCGTAAGCCACCATGCCCAGCCTGAATTTGAATTTCTTTTCTTTTAATTTTTATTTTATTTTAAATTATTTTTTATTTTTATTTTTTTGAGACAGAGTCTTGCTCTGTTGCCCAGGCTGGAGTGCAATGGCATGATCTTGGCTCAATGCAACCTCTGCCTCCTGGGTTCAAGCGATTCTTCTGCCTCAGCCTCCTGAGTAACTGGAACTACAGACGCACGCCACCACACCCGACTAGTTTTTATATTTTTAGTAGAGACGGGGTTTCACCATGTTGGCTAGGCTGGTCTTGAACTCCTGACCTCAGGTGATCCACCCACCTCAGCCTCCCAAAGTGCTGGGATTACAGGTTGTGAGCCACTGCGCCCAGCCTTGAATTCTTAATAAGTCATATTGATGCACTATACCTTTGATCCATCTCCTTTTGAATTTCTTTACTTAACTCATCGACTTTCTGCTGCAGCTTTTTCCTTCTTTGTTCAGGTGGGAGGTTGCTGAAATCCTCCGGTGTTGCACCCTGCAGACACAAATATAAATGAGAAACCAGAAAGCCCCAGACTTTCCTTGAAAGAAGGCTGTAAGCAAAGTCTGCAGCCATGGGGGGTGCAGACGTCTGCATGTGGCTTCATGAAACAGATTAAGCTCTTTCCCACTACACCCAGCCGAGATGCAAAAATCAATGCATGCAAACTGCGAAAGTCCCATAAACTACTCCCAGTTCCATGGATACTGGCCAGAACGCCCCAGAAAAAGCAGTGAGCCACGTTACAGGAAAGGAGAGGAAGAGATACTTCTGACTCTAGGGAGAATCCATGAAAAACACATTTTGAGATAGTCTTCTTCATTTTCCTACCAAGTGTTACCATCAATGTCAGTGGCAACACTGAAGTGTTAATGAAATTTATGTTTCCTTAATATAAACCCCACCGACCACTGCACGCCTAGCTGCCGCCTTTTCCCTAGCGTGAGTATTCCTGCCTGTCTCTTCACACAGGCTGAGGCCAAAAGTCTCCATCCCTGTAAAGTGACAGATGGGACATCACATTCCTCAGAGAGTGTGGGTGAAAAAGAACATTAAAAAAAAAAAAATCTCTCTTCCCCACACCCCATGCACGCTTCCCTCTGCTGCCTCTGAACATTTTTTTTTTTCCTTGAGACAGAGTTTCACTCTGTTGCCCAGGCTGGAGTGCAGTGGCGTGATCTCAGCTCACTGCAACCTCTGCCACCCGGGTTCAAGTGATTCTCCTGCCTCAGCCTCCTGAGTAGCTGGGACTACAGGCACGCGCCACCATGCCTGGCTAATTTTCCACATCTCTAACTCTTGACTTCAGGTGATCCGCCCACCTTGGCCTCCCAGAGTGCTGGGATTACAGACATGAGCTGCCGCGCCCAGAATAGTGACTTCTTTTAGGCACCTTTAGGAAGCCTCTCAGAGTTCAGAGAGAATGCCCTCCCTGACCTCAAAAATCAATTTTCCACAGTGTATGAAACTCATCTCCGTGGTTTTTAATCTGTCAGAAGAACTGTATTTTGATATCTTGATTCCCTTTTCAAAAGCAACTGCTCTCTTTACTCTGTGCGTGTGCTTTAAGGAGAAAGTATCAACAGTTTCAGGCTTTGACATATGCTTACTTGTTAGAAAGCTATGGCTACACTGTGCTTTTACTTAAGCAAGGCTATGTTCATAGAGAGAGAGAAATTTCGTGCTGGGCGCGGTGGCTTACGCCTGTAATCCCAGCACTTTGAGAGGTGAGGTGGGTGGATCACGAGGTCAGGAGTTTGAGACCAGCCTGGCCGACAAAGTGAAACCCCGTCTCTACTAAAAATGCAAAAAATTAGCTGGGCGTGGTGGCGGGCGCCTATAATCCCAGCTACTTGGGAGGCTGAGGCAGGAGAATCGTTTGAACCCGGGAGGCAGAGGTTGCAGCGAGCCAAGATCGCGCCACTGCACTCCAGCCCGGGCAACAATGCGAGACTCCATCTCAAAAAAAAAAAAAAAAGCCGGGCGCGGTGGCTCAAGCCTGTAATCCCAGCACTTTGGGAGGCCGAGACGGGTGGATCACGAGGTCAGGAGATCAAGACCATCCTGGCTAACACGGTGAAACCCCGTCTCTACTAAAAAATACAAAAAACTAGCCGGGCAAGGTGGCGGGCGCCTGTAGTCCCAGCTACTCGGGAGGCTGAGGCAGGAGAATGGCGTGAACCCGGGAGGTGGAGCTTGCAGTGAGCTGAGATCTGGCCACTGCACTCCAGCCTGGGCAACAGAGCGAGACTCCGTCTCAAAAAAAAAAAAAAAAAAAAAAAAAAAAGAGAGAGAGAGAGAAGAGAGAGAAATTTCTTCAAATAACCAGGGATAAGCCAGGGCATTTAGAAAAGAGATTTTACTTTAAACCCTCAATTCTTTTGAAACAAGGACAAGACAGGCTTGGGGCAGGGTAGAAAGAAGGGACCCAGTTAATGTAATTCCAGAAGCAAGTTGCATTTGCCAAGCAGCTTACATGGGGGCATGTGACTGGGTTCCTATGCTGATTAAGATAAAATGCCAGGGTGATGTGCTGGGAACTGTGTGATTCAGCAAATAGTTGACCACAAAAGGCCACGCAAAGAACTTTCAGCGAATGTTCTCAAAGACACACCCGTCAGACACACTGACCCTCTAATGTGTGTGTGTATGTGTGTTTGTGTTAGAGATAAGAGTTGAGTGAAACCAGAATAGAAGTGACTATTCCTAACAGCAAACCAAAGAAGTTTAATTTGACTCTGAATCTAAGATGAAACAAAACTAACCTTTAATACAACAACAACAAAAAAAGACTTGTTTTCCATATACTATGGCGCTACAATATTTCCGCTACAAATTTGAAAACTGGATTATTATGGATTATGGATTTCACCATGTTGGTCAGGCTGGTCTCGAACTCCTGACCTCAGGCGATCCGCCCATCTCGGCCTCCCAAAGTCCTGGGATTACAGGCGTGAGCTACCACACCCGGCCTCTTGCTACGGTCTTTTGTTAAAACATCAGAGTACCTTCCACCTCAGAAAACAGAATCAATCTCTCTGACCTCCGCGTGCCCTTCTTTCACCTGCCCAAGGCAGGATTCTGATTGTGGCCATGGGATCCTCATTCAAGAGGATCCTGCCCCATACCCTGGAGGAAGGAAGGCTGCACAGGGAGGCCAAGAAGAATCTGTACAGACAGGCCCTGCTGGGCGTCCCTACCCGATCTATGAGGATGCGATCAGGCCCTTTCTGACCAATCTGATTTCAACAAGGTTGTCCATGCTTCAGTCATGTCTATCTGATGAAGTCTCATAAAAGGACCAAGACGACAGGGTTTTTGGGGAGATTCCTAGAGACTGGCTGCCCAGGGAGGGCATGGAGGCTCTGTGCCCCCTCCCCCATACCTCGCCCTAAGCATCTCTTCATCTGCATCTTTTGTAATACCCTTTGAAATAAACCAGTAAATGTGGTGGCCAGGCACCGTGGCTCACGCCTGTAATCCCAGCACTTTGGGAGGCTGAGGCAGGCAGATCACGAGGTCAGGAGTTCGAGACCAGCCTGACCAACATGGAGAAACCCCCGTCTCGACTAAAGACACAACAAATTAGCCAGGTGTGGTGGCACACGCCTGTAGTCCCAGCTACTTGGGAGGCTGAGGCAGGAGAATCGCTTGAACCTGGGAGGTGGAGGTTGTGGTGAGCCAAGATCACGCCATTGCACTCCAGCCTGGGCGACAGGTGAGACTCCGTCTCAAAAAACAAACAAACAAACAAAAAACCAAAAACAGACCAGTAAATGTAAGCATTTTCCTGAGTGTGAGCTGCCCCTGCAAATTAATTGAACCCAAAGAGGGGGTCATGGGAACCCCAACTTGAAGCTAGTCCATCAGGAGTTCCGGAAGCCTGGACTTGCGACTGGTGGGAAGGAGGGGGCAGTCCTGCAGGACTGAGCCCTCAACCCCAGGATCGGCCACTATCTCCAGGTAGATAGCATCAGAATGGAATTGAATTAGAGGACACCCAGCCAGTGTCTGCTGCTTGATATATAAGGGAAACACTGATATATTTGGTCATAGAAATCTTCTGTGTTGATTGGCATGGTGGAACAGCAGAGGAAAAACGGTTTGAGTTTTATCAAGCAAGCATGTTTTCTAGAACTGAGAATTTTTTAAAAGCTGGAATACGGCAAAACACAATGTTAAGATACACTGCTTCAGAAATCAGGAAATCTAGGCCAGGCGTGGTGGCTCATGTCTGTAATCTCAGCACTTTGGGAGGCCAAGGCGGGTGGATCACCTGAGGTCAGGAGTTCGAGACCAGCCTGGCCAACATGGAAAAACCCCGTCTCTACTAAAAATACAAAATTAGCCAAGCGTGGTGGCGCCCATCTGTAATCCCCGCTACTCGGGAGGCTGAGGCAGGAGAATCGCTTGAACCCGGGAGGTGGAGGTTGTGGTGAGCCAAGATTGAGCCACTGTGCACTCCACCCTGGGCAACAAGAGTGAAACTCCATCTCAAAAAAACAAAAAAGAAGTCAGGAAATCTGAGAAGTGGTCAAAGTTCACCTCGTTAATATGTGCTGAGCCTTGCTATGTGCTGTGAGTTCAACAGAACTTTCTACAGTGATGGCAATGTTCTATGGCCGTGCTGTCCAACACAGAAGCCATGTGTGGCTGTGAAGCATTTGAAATGTGGCTGGTGAAATTGTGGAACTGAATTTTTTAAAATTTATTTAGTTTTAATTAATTAAAACTCAATAGTAGCTGGGTGTGGTGGCTTACACCTGTAATCCCAGCACTTTGGGAGGCCGAGGTGGGCGGATCACCTGAGGTCAGGATTTCAAGACCAGCCTGGACGACATGGTGAAACCCTGTCTCTACAAAAATACAAAAATTAGCCGGGCATGATGGCAAGTGCCTGTAATCCCAGCTACTTGGGAGGCCTCCCGAGTAGCTGGGATTACAGGCACTTGCCATCATGTGTTAAGTGGCTACCATATCAGACAACAGCTTTGGCCTCTGTGCAGGTGTATAAACAGGTGCGGAGAAATCCATCAGTAAAACACACTGTACTGATGACTTATAAATAGATAAGAAAACAACAAAGACAGGCCATAACAGGTGGAGTTGGTATGGGAAGAGAGGGTCATATACATCTACCTATGTTTTAAGTATCTGGAGTTCTGTAAGATAACCTTGTTCTATGTACTAATAAAATCAAACTTGGCCAGGCCCGGTGGCTCACGCATGTAATCCCAGCCCTTTGGGGGGCTGAGGTGGGCGGATCACCTGAGGTTAGGAGCTCAAGATCAGCCTGGCCAACATGGCAAAATCCCATCTCTACTAAAAATACAAAAATTAGCCAGGTGTGGTGGCACGCCCCTATAATCCCAGCAACTCGGGAGGCTGAGGCATAAGAATCGCTTGAACCCAGGAGGTGGAGGTTGCAGTGAGCCGAGATCGCGCCACTGCACTCCAGCCTAGGGTACAGAGTGAGACTCTTGGTCTCCTGAAAGAAAAAAAAAATCAAACCCCTGCTTATTGACAGCTTCCCCCCACCCCAAAATAGCACAAGCTCTGTGTAATACTACCTCTTCAGATTTTGGGTTTTTGTTTTGTTTTGTTTTATAGTTTTTTTTTGAGACAAGGTTTCATTCTATTACCCAAGGCTGGAGCAGCCTCGACCTCCTGGGCTCAATCAATCCTCCTGCCTCAGCCTCCGGTATAGCTGGGATCACAGGCACAGACCACCATGCCCGGCTAATTTTTGTATTATTTTGTAGAGTCAGGTTTCACCATGATGCCCAGGCTGGTCTAGAACTCCTGGGCTCAAGTGATCTGCCTGTCCCCACCTCCCAAAGTGCAGATATTACAGGCGTGAGCCACCACACCTGGTACCACATCTTTTTTCTTTTGTCTTTTTTTTTTTTTTTTTTTTTGGGGACATGGTTTCACTCTGTCACCCAGGCTGGAGTGCAGTGGCGCAGTGATAGCTCACTGCAACCTTGAACCCCTGGGCTCAGGCAATCCTCCTGCCTCAGCCTTCCAAAGCACTGGGATTCCAGGCATGAACCACCATGCCCAGCCAGCACTTCACTTCTTTGCTGCCTTCAAAGTAATGGTATAAAGCAACAATTCAATACCAAGTTGGTAAAATACTTTGTGTTTCAAACAGAAAGACTGCCTAAAAATATTACCTTTTGCTGCTAGCACCCAGAAAAACAATGGGAAATAAGGAAACCCTCGCAGCTGAGAAGGCCTCCTAGTCAACAGATCCAGTTTTTCCCAAGTTCATACTGCGGATAAACTTGTAGTTCATTTAAGTGTCTAGATCTCTTTCCTTCATGTAGAGACCTTAATCAAAGACTCTTCTCAGGATTTTATTTCACAGCCTAAGAAATGTTTAATTTAATAAAATATTCTTTTTTTTTAGGGTTGGATTCATTACCAGATACTGAGTCGTGTTAAAAAAATTATGTATATACATACATACGTCTATATATATATAAAAATATATATATAAATAAAATACTATCATAAAATACTATCCTAGGTTATCGATAGTGTGCTTATAGTGCTGATCTTATTCCTAGTTGAATTGTCACAGTTGATCACTGTCCATTATTTTAGGATATTCCTTTTTTTTTTTTTTTTTTTGAGATGGAGTCTCGCTCTGTCACCCAGGCTGGTGTGCAGTGGCTGGATCTCAGCTCACTGCAAGCTCCGCCTCCCAGGTTCACGCCATTCTCCTGCCTCAGCCTCCCAAGTAGCTGGGACTACAGGCGCCCGCCACCTCGCCCGGCTAGTTTTTTGTATTTTTTAGTAGAGACAGGGTTTCACCGTGTTAGCCAGGATAGTCTCGATCTCCTGACCTCGTGATCCGCCCGTCTCGGCCTCCCAAAGTGCTGGGATTACAGGCTTGAGCCACCGCGCCCGGCCTAGGATATTCTTAGCTGTGGAATTTGAGAAGACTATGAAACTATTATACATATTTGAAGTATAGTTATAGGTTATGTTAGTTACTTTTAATAAATTTAATGATTAGTTTGACTGTTGACTAGGCATATACAATTAAGTAGAAACGACACAAAACACTGAGTGAATAATTCTAAAAAGGCTTAGGAGGCTCTTTTCACTGTCCACGAAATCATCTTGTGGCCTCTTGAATCAGCTATGCACAAGGCACCAACATATCTACGTCGCGCCATAAAGATTCCACAGTCTTCCATTCCCACAGGTGGCCTCAAACCTGGGTAGCCGCTGCCGGCTGGGATCATTCCTGCACGGCTCCTTCAGGCTCCCAGATATTTTCATCTACTTCTATGGTTCTCAAATAGGAACATTTTTCAACTGTTAAATTTACTTTATACCGCGTGGCTCAACCTGTATCCCACTTTGGAGCGACGATCAGAAATCACCGTAACCCGTCTCTACTAAAATACAAAAAATAGCCCTGCCCTTATCCATATCAGACTACAGGAAATCAACGGACACTTCATACCAGATGCCACTGCACTCCAGCCTAAGTAACTCTTAAAAAAAAAAAAAAAAAAAAAAAAAAAAAAATTACTATATAAAATGATAAAAAAATTTAATATTTACATATATATATATATATATATTTGGAGAAGGAGTCTTGCTCTGTCACCCAGGCTAGAGTCCAGTGTTGCAATCTCAGCTCACTGCACCCTTCACCTCCCGGGTTCAAGCAGTTCTCTGCCCCGGCCTCCCGAGTAGCTGGGACTACAGGTGCACGCTGCCACGCCCGGCTAATTTTTTGTATGTATAGATGGGGTTTCACTGTGTTGCCCGGGCTGGTCTCGACCTCCTGAGCTTAGGCAATCCACCTGCCTTGGCCTCCCACAGTGCTAGGATTATAGGCGTAAGCTACTGCACCCGGCCTTTACATTCATATTTGTATAGACACTTTATTAATATTTGTCCTCCTCTTAAGGCCCCAGTAATAACATCAAGTTGTGAGTTAAGTGTTAATTTTCTTAGCAACTTGAAAAGATTAAGATCACCTCTATTAGATTCTGGACCTTTGTATCCAAGAAGTCTAATAAGGAAACACCAACAAAAGCACACGTAAGAGAAACACAAACCAAGTTAACTTTGAAGACATGTTGTGCATGGCATAGCATTCATAAAAGACACGCCGGAAAACCTGATTAGACTCAGGACATGCATGGAACAATTGTGCTTACCAGCTTGAGAGAAAGCTTCATGTAAAAATTGGAGAGATATGGGAAAAATAGAGAGAAAGAGAGAGAGAAAGAGAAAAAAAAAAAACAAAAACAACACATCAGAAGAGGAGGAACTTGGTCAGTTCTGCCATATTACAATAACACACGTCTACCCGCTGATTTATACAAATGACTTGTAGCAGATCTGTGCAAAAGTTCACAAGAAGGGCTGCTCCCTAATGAAATTTTTCTTAGGCTCCACATTGCCAGAGCAAAGATCAGAGAGAAAAGGACGGTTTCTGTTACAGGCCTATACTGGCCACCTCAGCCTAGATGTAAACTAAAGGAAGCTTGTAGTTGGTGACACATAATGACTATCAAAGAAAAAATACAGGGCTGGGTGCTCACGCCTGTAATCCCAGCACTTTGGGAGGTCGAGGGTGATGGATCACCTGAGGTCGGGAGTTCGAGACCAGCCTGAACAACGTGGAGAAACCCCATCTCTACTAAAAATACAAAATTAGCCGGGCGTGGTGGTGCACACCTGTAATCCAAGCTACTTGGGAGGCTGAGGCAGGAGAATCGCTTGAACCCGGGAGGCGGAGGTTATGGTGAGCCGAGATCGCACCATTGCACTCCAGCCTAGGCAACGAGAGGGAAACTCCATCTCAAAAAAAAAAAAGAAAAAGAAAAAATATAATCACACAACCTTTTTGTTCTCCAAATTTCCCATGGAAAGATTCACACAGACTAAAACAAGTCTGAACACCAATGACTTCCATGACAGGAAAGTAATATTTTAATATTAAGGAACTCTAATAAATATAAACATTGACATGAAGGCAAAGTCTGAAATGGGTAAATTGGTAACAAAGAGCGGACGAGCAGTTGCTCTAAGAAACTACCAGCAGGACCTGGAAAGACTCTTGCAGCCAGGCTAGAGGACAACGTTCTCTCCCCCAGAGAAGTGGGTGTCACCCCTCGCTCCGTGGATGGTGTCTGCTGAGGCTTTCTGTGAAACTCTGAGCCCATTTGGAGAATTATCCACTGTGACTGCTCTTTTATCTTTTTATTTTTTTTTGAGACAGAGTCTCGCACTGTCGTCCAGGCTGGAGTGCAGTGGCGTGATCTTGGCTCACTGCCACCTCTGCCTTCCAGGTTCAAGCAATTTTCCTGCTTCAGCCTCCTGAGTAGCTGGGATTACAGGTGACTGCCACCAAGCCCAGCTAATTTTTTGAATTTTTAGTAGAGACAGGGTTTCCCCTTGTTGGTCAGGCTGGTCTCGAACTCCTGAACTCGTGATCCGCCCACCTCCCAAAGCGCTGGGATTACAGGGGTGAGCCACTGTGCCCGGCCATGACTGCTCTTTTTAAAGTATGTATTTACTTATCAATTTGCTGATTTTTGGTTTTGTTTTTGGAGACAGGGCAGGTTGTACAGTGGCACAATCTCAGCTCACTGAAGCCTCAACCTCTAGGGCTCAAGTGATCCTCGCACCTCAGTCTCCTGGTACATACAGGAGGTGGCACTACAGGTGCGTGCCACCACGTCTGGCTATGTTTTGTATTTTTTGGTAGAGGTGGGGGTTTCACCATGTTGCTCAGGTTGATATCAAACTCCTGGGCTCAAATGATCCACCCACTCCAGCCTTCCAAAGTGCTGGGATTACAGGTGTGAGCCACCACACGCGGCCTAAAAAACTAATTCTTAATTTGAGATTGATTCAAAGTTGACGCTTCTTTGTAAATAAAAAATGACCTTTTAAATAAATTGTCACTATATAGAAACATGAGATTTTACAGGAAAGAAACAGAAAGATAAACTTTGGCAGGGGGAAAATGGTACATACAGTCACATTCCTGACTGTCTGACATAGGCAGTCTACAGAGATTCCAGCCCACCTGTGAACTTGAGCATAAATCTACTGATCACAACTGGAATTCATCGTACGCACAGACAAGACTTATGGTGCACAGCAGAAAACTCCAAATATCTTTCCTACAAGGCACACTACCATATACAGATATTTTCTCACACATTATTGTCTAAACATTGCTAATTCAAAGAACTAACATTTCAACTAGATACACTATTTGCTCTCTACTCGGCTACTTTCATTATGCAAAGTTACATATTCTTTCTTAAGCATTCCACAGAGTTCTCACCTCAAAATATTGTATAGAGGAAGATTATAACACTTCATAGTAAAAATGAGTCGTTAGGATTGAACATAGATTCCCCATTGAATAAGAAATACCAAATTCTCAGACAAATTCCATTTTATTTGTGACGGATGATCTATTAATACGAGAAGTGCCATCACAGTACGTGGAATTTCTTTTTAATCATTCTATACTGGTTTTCAGTCTTAAGTTGTAAGCCAGCCAATTAGAATTTCTCTTAAAATTAGAAAGCGAAATCACTGGCTAAAATAATAATTTTGAAGATTTCATTAAGTGCATTGCTAGACACCTGAAGAATTAAAAAGCTGTCAGTTTCAGGCGACAGTTAAAGAGCCGTGGGAGCCACAAGCGTCAATAACACATGGGGAACGCAGCCCGGGCGGGGCCCATGTGTTATTGGACAGTCACAGGACTAACCTCAAGTACAAAGAAAGGGGACAGTGAAAAATCAATATATAGATACATAGAGAGAAGCAAAATCATTTTACTGTGCTAGGAAATCGCTCACGCTTCCTTGATTTGTTTGTTTGTTCTCCGAGCTTTAGGGCATAACTCCCTTATGGATCCATTTGTTACAAACATGGATATGGGTGACTGAGCTACACTGCCGTCTGTAAGAGCGCCACTCTCCCGTGACCACGCACTGCAGCTGTGTTTTTATGCGTGAAATTCTGCGGTAAAGTCATACTCAATGATATCTCAGACGGCAGTCACAGTCCCTTTAAAGATTTTTACCAGAACTAGAATGAAAAGAGAAAAACAAAAAAACAAGCTCAGCTCACCACTGTTATTAGAAAGTTTGCTTCCTTTATTCATGCAAGCTTTTTCGGATAAAGTTGCCTGTGGTTGAATTTACACGATTAGGCTTTTTTCTTTTTTTTTTTTCCTGGTGTCCAGTTCTCTCAATTAAGAATTTCATTTTGTAGTGTGGAAGCATAACAGAGTGCCTCTGGGTCCCCAGTCTTGGTGCTGTGAATGGGGTTAGTGGCTGTGCCATGACTGTATGACCTGGCCATCACAGGTGAACTTACAACATAGTCCCTAGCCTCAAAGGCATACGTGGGTTTCCCTATCGTCCTCTTCATGAGTTCTTTGTGAAAACAGAAAGACTGAGTCTGAGTCTGCCAATAACCAGCAAGAGAACAAGATAAAATAAATAAAATTAAAGTAATCATAAGACTTTCACATATGACAAACAACTGGTAAGGATTTTCAAAATTTTTGGTCAACTTTGATGGTATTTTTCCATACAACGAACTCTAAAATATGAAAAACGTATGTCCATATTTTAGATATAGAAGTCTCTTGCGCAGGCCAGAAAATGAAACCTTAATTTAAGCAATAAAATTCCCCTTTGTAGATTGCAAACTGAGAACATACTATCTAGTTTCATTTTTCTTCAACTTACGTAAAAATGAAATAATGGTTAATGCTCTGGCGGCATCTTTAAAAATATTCGGTGAAACAAAATTCCCTTACAAATGTCAACAGCTTACAACAAATAACATTTTATCCTGTTTAATGATTTGGAAACAAAATCAGTTATGCTGAGATATGTTTGCATGGGATTTATATACTCTGATAATAGAAACAAATTATTGACATCTGAATCTGAAAGCTGCAAAACATGATCAATTAAAAGACATAATAAAATCACAGATTTGTTATTCTCTCAGGAACTTTTTCTAGTTAAATTATCATTGGCATAATAGTGTTAAGTTACAAAGCAGAATAAATGAGAAGGTAGGAAGGGCTGTACCATTTTGGTCATGGAACCTGTCAGTCCTGCCATGGATGTCCCATGCAAGTTCCATGTTGAGACTGTTTAAAAATGAAATCTATTTCTCCAAACTTTAGATTTGTTTTTTGAGCTTGTGCTTCCTCTTTTTTTGCATTGCTATGTCCTACAGGAAGGAACATTAATTCTGACCCTAAGAACAGATTGACCAAAAGTGAGGGAAGCAAAACTTTTTCTCTATTTCTTTTTTTTTTTTTTTCGAGATGGAGTCTTGCTCTGTCGCCCAGGCTGGAGTGCAGTGGCCGGATCTCAGCTCACTGCAAGCTCCGCCCCCCGAGTTCACGCCATTCTCCTGCCTCAGCCTCCCGAGTAGCTGGGACTACAGGCGCCCGCCACCTCGCCCGGCTAGTTTTTTGTATTTTTTAGTAGAGACGGGGTTTCACGTGTTAGCCAGGATGGTCTCGATCTCCTGACCTCGTGATCCGCCCGTCTTGGCCTCCCAAAGTGCTGGGATTACAGGCTTGAGCCACCGCGCCCAGCCCTTTCTTCTCTGTATTTCTTTACAATTGCTTCTAGTGGGTATATGTATATGGTTTAACCCCAGGAAAATAAACTCATCATTTGGGAAATATTTTTTAGCAAAGATTTGCTGAGTACAGGCTTGAGGAGTAAGAAATAAAATTGATATCCCTGATTATGGTAAAACAGAGATTTTCCTTTAAATCATCAAAGGAACCAGTTTCCCATACCCATTTCACTGTTTTAAGTGTTAACTCTTTTTTTAAAAATTTTATTTTTATTATTTTTTTAATTTTTAGATGGAGTCTCACTCTGTTACCCAGGCTGGAGTGCAGTGGCCCGATCTTGGCTCACTGCAACCTCTGCCTCCTGGGTTCAAGCGATTCTCCTGCCTCAGCCTCCCAAGTAGCTGGGATTACAGGTGTGCATCACCATGCCCAGCTAAGTTTTGTATTTTTAGTAGAGATGGGGTTTCACCATGTTGGTCAGGCTGGTCTCAAATTCCTGACCTCGTGATCCACCCACCTCGGCCTCCCAAAGTGCTGTCATTACAGGTGTGCGCCACAGCACCCAGCCTATCTTTTTCTAACCATCCTTTTCTTACATTTATTGATTACTGAATTCTTTGGTCTTTTTCTAAATATTTAGAGAATACCATGAACCACAGATTCACAAACCATTTTCGGCCAACAGACTGCGTAATGTTAAGAGAAAACTGGAATAGACACATAAACAAATGGTAAACAATCATGAATATTCATCATGAGAGTCCAAAAAAATACAGAGATAATATATAAATATAACACATGAGTGCTTGGTAAAGCGGCAGAGATGGGTTAACTGACAGTTCATATGAATCTTTCAGTCTAGCAAAAACACCTTTGTCTTGGAAATTCTTGGATTAACAATGAGTGGAGTTCTAAACGCCAGCATCGTTGAGCCAAGAAGCTGCAGATTCCTCAAGTCCTAATTATACAGCTCAGCTCAATCCGTCATCCACTTTTGAAGCTGTACTCTGCCTTCCACCAACCAATGTGTACTCTGCCTTCACATCTTCAGGAAATTACATTTCTAATTCTTAACCCGATATGATAGATAGCACTAAAGCAAGATAATTCTACCAACTATAAATCCGAGAATCTCATATTAAAGGAACTCTGCATATAAGGAAATATTGTTTCGTCCCCTATTTTTTTTTTTTTTTTTTTTGAGGCGGAGTCTTCACTCTGTCACCCAGGCTGGAGTGCAGTGGCACCATCTCGGCTCACTGCAAGCTCCGCCTCCCAGGATCGCACCATTCTCCTGCCTCAGCCTCCCGAGTAGCTGGGACTACAGGCGCCCACCACCGCGCCCGGCTAATTTTTTGTATTTTAGTAGAGACGGGGTTTCACCGTGTTAGCCAGGATGGTCTCGATCTCCTGACCTCGTGATCCGCCCGCCTCGGCCTCCCAAAGTGCAGGGATTACAGGTGTGAGCCACCGCGCCCGGCCTCGTCCCCTATTTTTAAAAAGTATTGATAATAACCTTGCTATCAATTATGTATTTACATTATTTTATTTTATTTTATTTTTGGAGAAAGGGTCTAACTCTGTTGCCCGGGCTAGAGTGCAGTGGTATATGTCGGTTTACTGCAACCTTTGCCTCCTGGGCTCCAGCAATTCTCCCATCTCAGCTTCCCAAGTAGCTAGGACTACAGGCACATGCCACCAGGCCTGGCTATTATTTTTGTTTTTTTCTTGAGACGGAGTCTTGCTCTGTTGCCCAGGCTGGAGTGCAATGGCGCCATCTCAGCTCACTGCAACCTCCGCTTCCCAGGTTGAACCGAGTCTCCTGCCTCAGTCTCCCGAGTAGCTGAGATTACAGGTGCCCGCCTGTAATTAGCCGGACGTTAACATGTCCGGCTAATTTTTGTATTTTTAGTAGAGACGGGGTTTCACCATGTTGGTCAGGCTGGTCTTGAACTCCTGACCTCAGGTGATCCACCTGCCTTGGCCTCCCAAAGTGCTGGGATTACAAGCATGAGCTACTGCACCAGGCCTCTTTTTTATACGGTGTAGTTTTTGTGGAAATATGATTATCAGGTTAACAATGACTACTGTTATTCTTTTCCTGGTAACCAGCTGTTAATTCCAAGTCTAAGAAGGACATCTCTTCTCTAGTTAATTAGCTGTAGTTTAGAATCTTTTCCCATGCCAATGTGTCAGGTGGCACTCAAGAAAGGCTGGTATCCACCTCTGGCTTTGGGGCACTACCAGGTACTATTTGGAAAGAAGTAACCCAACTGTCAGTTGACTGGAGAGTCCAGAATGGAAAAGTAAAACTTACGTTTGTACAATAAAGCATTCCACTACAACTATATTGCAACTCCCACAGGGCAGGAGTTCAGAAAAAAAGGAGCAAACCTTACTGGATATGTTAACGCTGCTGGGATTACAGGAGAGGGCCACCGGGCCCGGTCTAAAGATCTGTTTACTCTTATATTCATTATAAAAGATATTTGGGGAAGGCTTAGACTAGACTGGCCGTTGAGAATTATTTGGGAATCTACACATTGCTTTATGCCAATCTTTCTCTATAAACGAAACTTGTATCTACATTGGATGGCTGCATCAATTCCATTATCTCTGGGATGTAAGCACATCAATCTTAATGAGGACAGCGAACTTCAATCTTAATAACATCCACTTATGAGTCAACATAGTAGTTTCTCCCTGAATGTGGATGTCACAGAATCTCAGACTCTAATCAGACTCCCCGGATCTAAATCCGACTCTGTATCTTCCCACCTTCAACTTTTTATACCTCAATTTCCTTAGCAGTGAAATAAGGAAATATGAGTACTACCTGGGCTGCATAGGGTGGCTGGAAAAAAGTAAATGGGCACACAGAACAGAGCTTTGTACGCAGTAAGCGCTCAGTGAGTGTCAGCTGCTTTTATTGTTTCATCCTTTAAAGAGAAATCCTGCATCAGGCCTCTTCCAATCAACAGATATTTTATCAACATCTTATAATCTCACTAAAATAGCGAATGAAACCACTGTGACTTATGACTCTCCACCTTTCAACCCTGAGGCGTAGCTCAGGCAAGTATCTTCATTACACTCACATTGCTTCAGTAATTATTAAGGCAATATTTTCTGACTTACACAGTCACTTCCAATTCCTCATCTCATAGGTTGCTAGTTTTATGTTTTCATTATTTATTTACTTTTTTTTTTTTAGAGATGGGGTCTGACTATGTTGTCCTGGCTGGTCTTGAACTCCTGAGCTCAAGTGATCTTCCTGCCTCGGCCTCCCAAAGTGCTAGGATTACAGGCATGAGACACTGCGCTTATCCTATTTATTTTTATATATATATATTTTTAAGAGATGGGGGTCTCACCATGTTGTCCAAGCTGGTTTTGAACTCCTGAGCTCAAGCAATCCTCCTGCTTTGGCTTCCCAAAGTGCTAGGATTATAGGTGTGAGCCATCACGCCCAGCCTCAGGTCACTAGTTTCATAAATGAAATCTAAGTTTCTTTTTTTGGTAAAATAAAGGTAAAAAATGCATGACTTCGATGCTTTAAAGAGGAAGCGGGGTAAAGTCCTTCCAAAAGGTACCAGAAACAAACAGAAAAAAGGCTGAGCGCAGTGGCTCACACCTGTAATCCCAATACGTTGGAAGGCCGAGGCGGGCGGATCACAAGGTCAAGAGATCGTGACCATCCTGGCCAACATGGTGAAATGCCGTCTCTACTAAAAATACAAAAATTAGCTGGGCGTGGTGGCGTATGCCTGTAATCCCAGCTAATCGGGAGGCTGAGGCAGCAGAATCGCTTAAACCTGCAAGGTGGAGGTTGCAGTGAGCCGAGATCATGCCACTGCACTCCAGTCTGGTGACAGAGCGAGATTCTGTCTCAAAAATAAATAAATAAATAAATAAATAAATAATAATTAAAAAAAAAAAGAAACAAACAGAAAGAACTCTGGGCTGCCTGTTTCTCCTTTCTTCCAACCATCCTGCTTCCTTCTTTCTTTCCTCCTCTTTCCTCTTTCTGGCTTTTCTTTCTAGCTATAATGGTTTTTTTTTTTTTTTAAACTTTTTTATATGTTATGGGAAAACACAATGGATTCATTCACAAACAAAATTAGTTATGCAGAACCAAACATGCAACAAAAGCACGCCAGAGAGACAGGATTCCGGAGCAGAACTTACCCCACGCTTTAGGCTCCTGAAGCAGTGGATTTTGGGTTTGGAGGTCATGAACTCGTTGAAGCGGTGGGAGAGGGGTTCCTTTTGCTGCTTGGGAGACTGGGGGCCGTTGGGAACAGCAGAGGGTGAGGCAGAGGCAGGAGGGGGAGGGGGAGGCTGATGGGGGGATGTTAAAAGGGACATAAGCTACATGTAAGAGATGGAGCCGTGACAGAGTAAAAATCAGAAACAAGAAGACACAAAACAAAAATAAGCATCAAATAATATTTGAAATCCAACGCAAGTAAAACACAAACAATTAAATTTTAGGCCATGGTCCAAAAGAAAACATGTAGGAGGTGGTTAAATGAAGAATATGATGAGAGTTGGGAGGTTTAGTAAGTAATGCGACGGAAGAGCAAGAAATACCTGACAAGAAGCTCGTGCAGACTTTCCCATGCAAACTACAGCTCTAGTTAGTTATTCTAAACCAGCTTAAGCCAGAGGGTAAATATTTCTACATCACCTAAACTGACATAGCTTGATGGGAGAAAATGAAAGACCTTCAAGGCTAAGGTTGTGGAAACAGCAGTCTGTTCAAATTAATAAATAGGAAGTCATTCTGAAGTTAAAGCAGTAATGTTGCCTTGATCATATTCTACGTCCCCAGGTTAATGCTGCCATGCACCTATGTGTCACACTATGAAGAAAATGAAAATGTTCATGGATACACATGTTAACATGAATTCAAAACCAAGTTATTGACATGGTAACAATTTCCAGTAGATGTGTGGATAAAGTGTTAACAGGAATTTCGCACTACATCCTCTCTCCCAGCCAAGGTAACCAGCAGTCTAGGAGAGGAAGGAGGGAAAGGCATGAGGCGAAATGGTGGAGAGGTCAGTACTCTGTTAGTGTGGGTGTCACGGTACGAGGATAATGCATCTGAAATAAGACACAGGGCCATGGCAAAGATACCACCACCAAAAAGAAATACTGTCTCAACATAAAGTAGCACACTAGCTTTTTCTTTTGCATTCTGAAACTACAGGTTTAAGGTCTTAGCTTTTCTAAGACTAAAAGATCAAGTCAAAATCTCCACGCCTTAGAAAACTTGTTTCACGCGCCAACCATCAGTACCTTATTTTTTTTGATGAATGGCCATAACTTTCCTTTGGATTTGCCACCAAATTTGAGGTCTGGTTTGCCTTCTCCTCTGGAATTTGAAAGGCTGTTATCTGACACAGTGCGCTTCATTGGCTGAGTGTAATCCTCAAATTCAATGTCTCCAGGAGGCTCAAACCCTGATTTATAAGCTTCTATTACCAGCTGTGAATCCTGAAATTATACCCACAAGCATATAAATACATTCAAAAGCATGCGAACACTTTTAAAACAATGAATTATGATGACCTCATACAGATGATAACTAACAAAATTGTACTGATTGATAATAACTTTTTTCCTAGTAGCTTTTTTTTTTTTTTTTTTTTGAGACAGAGTCTCACTCTGTCACCCAGGCTGGAGTGCAGTGGTGTCATCTCGCCTTACTGCAACCTCCGTCTCCCTGCCTCAGCCTCCCGAGTAGCGATTCTCCTGCCTCAGCCTCCCAAGTAGCTGGGATTACAGGTGTGCGCCACCACGCTCAGCTAAGTTTTGTATTTTTAGTAGAGATAGGGTTTCGCCATGTTGGCCAGGTTGGTCTCAAATTCTTGACCTCAGGTGATCCGCCCGCCTCGGCTTCCCAAAGTGCTGGGATTACAGGCGTGAGTCACCACAGCTGGCCAGCTTTTTTCATTCTTCTCAGAAGCCATCATTTGAGCTTTTCATTTGAGCTTTTAGAATTTAGAACTATTGTTTTCTGATTTTTTTTGGTTATTTGTTTTTGAGACAGAGTTTCACTCTGTCACTCAGGCTGGAGTGCAGTGATGTGATCTTGGCTCACTGCAACCCCTGCCTCCAGAATTCCAGCAATTCTCGTGCCTCAGCCTCCCAAGTAGCTGGGACTACAGGGATGCACCACCACACCCAGCTAATTTTTGTATTTTTAGTAGAGATGGGGTTTCGCCATGTTGGCCAGGATGGTCTTGAACTCCTGGCATCAAATGATCCACCCTCCTCGGCCTCCCAAAGTGCTGGGAGTCACAATGTGAGCCACCGTGTCCGGCCAGCAGCATAACTTTTATGTTAAATATTTGTGTCTTCAAATTAACAGTAAAAGCCTCTGCTGGTGTTCTAGTTGATATTTTTATTGAGAGAAATAGGTCTCTAGGAATTCAGATGGATAACACTGCCCTGAAGCAGTATTCTCAACCAGAGAAGATTTTGCCCTCCCAGGAGACATGTGGCAATGTGTGGAGACATTTTGATTGTCACAACTCGGGGAGTGCTACTGGCCTCTGCTGGGTAGAGGCCAGAGATGCTGCTAAACATCCTGAAATGCCTCCAGCAAGAAAAATGATCTGGCGTAAGATAATGTCAAAAGTGCCTGAAGAAACCCTGTTTTGGCCGAGTGCAGTGGTTCACACTTGTAATCCCAACACTTTGGGAGGCTGAGGCAGGTGGATCACCTGAGGTCAGGAGTTCGATATCAGCCTGGCCAATATGGTGAAACCCTGTCTCTACTAAAAATACAAAAAACTGTCCGGGAGTGGTGGCACACACTTGTAGTCCCAGTTACTCAGGAGGCTGAGGCAGAAGAATCGCTTGAACCCAGGAGGTGGAGGTTGCAGTGAGCTGAGATCACGCCACTGCACTCCAGCCTGGGCAACAGAGCGAGACTCCATCTCAAAAAGAAAAAAAAAAAGACAAAGAGAAAGAAACTCTGTCTTAGAGGAAACAAAGCCTTTACCTTTTTCCAGGAAATATTTCAATTCAATTCTGTCTTGTCTCGGACAATTTACCACTTAAATGTGTTTTCCAAAAAAGGAATTATGCGGCTAAATCCAAGACACAGAGCCCGTGTGACCACTGAAAGCAACTACCCACCATGGGATGATTACATGAGGTCATATGGAAAGGGGGCGGGGAAAATAATGGATAATGGATCTGCAAATAATTATCAATGAAGCCCAAATGGCAATACTTACATTTTTCTGATCAATTGATTCGGCTGCTTTTACTATTCCATCCAGGCACTTCCCAATGATTGGGATCACCTGCCGATCAACCTCTGCATATGTCTTCATGGACTCTCCAATTCTCACAATCCTCCTTTCCTCCATCTCTTGGATTTTCTGCAACATTAGATTTTGTATAAAATAAGTTTGGTCCATTATTATTAAATGAAGCTGTTTTTCGGCAGCATTGTTACCTCTAACAAGTTCTCTAAGGAAAAAATGGGTTAGAGTTAGAGCGGCCATAAGTATATGGAGCCTCCATATTACCCAGCTGTACACTTATTTTATAAATTGCTAGACATGTTAAGCTGCCCAAATATATGCTTTGCACAATTCCATTCTAATTTTAGTAAGAATGCCAAACTCAATAGTTTTTTTTTGTTTGTTTTTCTTTTTGTTTTTTTGAGACGGAGTTTTGCTCTTGTCGCCCAGGCTGGAGTGCAGCGGCACAATCTTGGCTCACTGCAACCTCTGCCTCCTGTGTTCACACCATTCTCCTGCCTCAGCCTCCCGAGTAGCTGGGATTACAGGTCCCCACCACCACACCTGGCTAATTTTTTGTATTTTTAGTAGAGACGGGGTTTTGACATGTTGGCCAGGCTGGTCTCCAACTCCTTACCTCAGGTATCAACCCACCTAGGCCTCCAAAGTGTTGGGATTACAGGCTTGAGCCACCACACCTGGCCAATAGTTTTATTATTAACACTATTTGTAATCTACCTCAAACATTTTCTCCATCTTTAATCTACCACTTTACCTTTTACCAAAAGCACAGTATTTACTTAACTGTCTCAACCCAATACAGATTGGTGTACCTTCCAACTATAATTTAGAAGGACTTGTTTGCTGTGTGTGTAGACACCAAGAAGCAAATATTTATTATTTTTTTCTACAATTGGACTCAAAGTTGCAAAAGATCTGTAAAATGGAAGAACATATGTCTATCTTTTCTCATACCATTTTTGACAACCTAACATGAGCAAAAGAAAACAATCCAAAAGAAAGAACTGTCGTTTGTTCAAATCCTACAACTCTGTGAATGCTGCTTTGACTTCTATAGTTAAGTTGGCATTTTTATAACCATAATCATCCCTTTAGCAAAGAGAGTATTAATGAGAGAATCATAGTTTAAGACTGACAAATAGGCGTGGTGGCTCATGCCTGTAATCCCAGCACTTTGGGAGGCCAAGGCGGGCAGATCACCTGAGGTCAGGAGTTCGCGACCAGACTGGCCAACATGGTGAAACCCTGTCTCTACTAAAAATACAAAAAAAGTAGCTGGGTATGGTGGCAGGTGCCTATAATCCCAGCTACTCTGGAGGCTGAGGCAGGAGAATCGCTGGAACCCGGGAGGCGAATGTTGCAGTGAGCTGAGACTGTGCCACTGCATTCCAGCCTGGGCGACAGTGCGAGACCCCGTCTCAAAAGAAGAAAAAAGAAAAAAGACTGACAAATAATTGGCTGCAGGTGCAAACTATGAAAGTTTGCAAAGTTTACTGATTAATCTTGAGATGATTATATTTCATTCATATTGCTAGTCAATGCTTGATCTAGATGCCTTAAAAAATGATTTATCATGCATTGCTTGAGTCCAGGAATTTGAGGCCATCCTGGGCAACACAGCAAGACCCTATCTCTACAAAAATTTAAAAATTAGCAGGGCATGGTGGTGCATGCCTATAGTTCCATCTACTTAGGAGGCTGAAGTTGAAGGATCCCTTGATCCCTTGAGCCCAGGAGTTCAAAGCTGCAGTGGGTCGTGATTGTGCACTGCACTCCAGCCTGGGCAACAGAGTGAGACTGTCTCAAAAAAAAAAAAAAAAAAAAAGGGCCGGGTGCAGTGGCTCAGGTCTGTAATCCCAAGCACTTTGAGAGGCCGAAGTAGGCAGATCACCCGAAGTCAGGACTTTGAGACCAGCCTGGCCAACATGGTGAAACCCCGTCTCCACTAAAAATACAAAAATTAGCTGGGCGCAGTGGTGCTTGCCTGTAGTCCCAGCTACTCAGGAGGCTGAGGCAGGAGAGTCACTTGAATCTAGGAGGCAGAGGTTGCAGTGAGCCAAGACTGCTCCATTGCACTCCAGCCTGGGTGACAAAGCAAGCCTCTGTCTCAAAAAAAAAAAAAAAAAAAAAAATTAGTGGAAATTTGGAATTACATATAAAGACTGAGAATACAAACCCAGCAATCATGATTCAGAAGTATCATGTTTCTAAGGAAAGCAAAGCATAAAACATGAAATCTGAGAGATGTTCAGGATTTACCTGGAAGATGTTGGGGATGTGAGTATGGTAATATTCATGCTGCTCATGGTTGAATTTCTGGAGAATGGATGAGTAATCTGCTTTGCTGTCCTCTGCCATTTGGTGACGTATTTGAGCTTGCTGTCGGGCCTTAGGGCAAAAACAAGAATACTCCCACGTTTATACATCATAAATAAAAGCCTGGGTGCAATCAATAAACGCCTAGAACTGCACACTGGGATGCCTAAGGGCCAGACTTACCTCAAATGTATTCAGCAGGTGCTATTTTTTAATGTTCTGAATTGAATTTACTTCAGGTAAGCAATGTGCATCCTAGTTGGTATAAAAATCCACCATTCCCTATTGTCTTAATGTGGTGTGTGCCTTCTAGTTTGACACACCATTCTATATTGTCTGCACTTGGGCAATTCACATTACCTGGAGGACCCTTGTGGGAACCTCTGCTCATATACACATGTATATATATTTTTTTGAGGAGGCGATGAGAAATCCACAATTTTTTTTTCTTTTTTTGAGACAGGGTCTCCCTCTGTCACCCAGGCTGGAGTGCAGTGGCACTCTTACCTCAGCCTCTCAAGTAGCTGGGACTACAGGCATGCACCACCATGCTAGGCTAATTTTTTATTTTTTTTGTAGAGATGAGGTCTTACCACATTGCCCAGGCTGGTCTTGAACTCCTCGACTCAAGCAATCCACCTGCCTCAGCCTCCCAAAGTGCTGGGACTATAGGCATGAACCACGGCGCCTGGCTGGCAAGTCCACAAATTTTTAAACCCAATTCTCAATGGCGTTCATGAACTAAAAAGGCATATGAACCACTGACCTAAGGAGACCTTTCTAAAGCTCTCTACCATGTTTATATTTAGTATATATGCTAAAGAGGCAATAAGTATGGCACCTTCTTTTTGCTTTTTATGTTTTTTGAGGGGTGCTATTTTATGTTTTACTGCATTGCTTTTCTCCTCAAAAATGAATAATTTGCAATTTTATTTTTCTCTAATTCATATTCTGATTAATCACATACCTAAAAAAGGGGCAACGATTGTTGATTAGTTGCAGAATCGATTTTCAAGTTCAAACAGGAATGTCTATAAACTCTAAAGTCATCCAGAAGTACTAGAGGTTATGTTGTTAATATCACCTTAGATTCATATAGCACTGTGGTACTATTTTGATAAATACAATCTCGTGAATCTCTAACACAATTTGAGGTCCACACAAGGCAAAAAACTACCTCCTGCCAGATGAAGATAGGGTTTTTGGTCTTTAAGTGACCTGGCAAACTCACTGCAATGAGCCAAAAACACAACAGGAAATGGGCTGTTTTCCAACATAACCAGGGCAACTGTTTGTTTGCTTGTTTTTGTTTTGTTTTACTGAACCAATGTTATAGTAAATTAAGACCTGGCCAGGTGTGGTAGATCACACCTGTAATCCCAGCTCTACGGGAGGCCCGGGTAGGCAGATTGCTTGAGCCCAGGAAATCGAGACCAGCCTGGGCAACATGGTGAGATGCCTCTCTCCACAAAAAAATACAAAAATTAGCTGGGCATGGTGGTATGTGCCTGTAGTCCCAGCTACTCAGGAGGCTGAGGCAGGAGGATTGCTTGAGCCTGGGAGGCTGAGGCTGCAGTGAGCTATGATCACTACCACTGCACTCCAGCCCGGGCAACAGAGCGAGACCCTGTGTCAAAAAATAATAATAAAAAATAAATTAGTCAGGTGTGGTGATGTGTGCCTGTGGTCTCAGCTACTCGGGAGCCTGAGGTGGGAGGATTGAGCTCAGGAGGTTGAGTTTGCAGTGAGCTATAACTGTGCCACTGCACTCCAGCCTGGGCAACAGAGCAAGACTCTGTTTCAAAAAACAAAACACCAAACAAACAAAAACAAGAAAATTAAGACCTAATCGTGAAAGAAAGAAAATCAGAAAGACAAGGAAAAGACAGACAGACAGAAAGGAAGAAAAGCGAGAAAGAAAGGGAAGAAAGAATGAAAGAGGCTGGGCGCGGTGGCTCACGCCTGTAATCCCAGCACTTTGGGAGGCTGAGGCGGGTGGATGACGAGGTCAAGAGATTGAGACCATCCTGGCTAACATGACGAAACCCTGTCTCTACTAAAAATACAAAAATTAGCTGGGTGTGGTGGCAGGCACCTGTAGTCCCAGCTACTCAGGAGGCTGAGGCAGGAGAATCGCTTCAACCCGAGAGGCTGCAGTGAGCTGAGATCACACCACTGCACTCTAGCCGGGGCGACAAGTGAGACTCCCTCTCAAAAAAAAAAAAAAAAAAAAAAAAAAAAAAAAGAATGAAACAGAAAGAGAGAAAGAAAAAGAGAGAAAGAAAGGAAGAAAAGAAACACATAGAAACATTCAAACATCACCCAAAGAGGAACGCTGAAGCAGTTGTTCCACTTTCTGCTTGCTGGGAACGTTTAGTATCGGCTTCTTTTCACGTCAATCTTCTTTATTGGTTTCCTGACTATGTGACTTGAAGGCTTAACCTGAATTTCACTTCACACATTTTACTCATACTCATCTGGTGAAAGCCTAAGGTAATTCACAATTGCTTCCTTTATTTTCTTCCCTATTCACACGTGAACACTTCCCAAATGAAGGTAACAATATCAGTATTTCCAAATGCATTTCCTTATTACTGAGGTTTTTTGAGTTTCCTACGGCTTTTGGATCTCTCGGTGCCATTTTATCCTCTTTTCATCTACCCTCAGTTGATTTCAGCTGCCACATTCTTCCTCTTTGTTGGTGGCCTGTTAACTCCCTTCCTGACCATATGCCTTGGCGTCTGCTTCTTCCTGTGTCCACTAGTAAATATATTAGTCTAGCCCCAAAATGTTAAGTACCCAGCTACCCTCAAAAATCCACCCCCTTCCAATACACAGTAGCCCTCCTCTGTTTAAATAATAGCTTTCCCACCTACATGCATTCCATCTGTTCCCTGAGCCCGTCCAGCACAAATACCCTATTAACTCTTCAGCCGCTGATAGTTTCATCATGTATCATTTCGTTATGAATGTTTAAAAAAAAATTCCCATTAGACCTCAAATTTCTAAAAGAGTCTCTATTTTATTCACAAGTCTTCCTCGGAAAGTCTCACAAAAATCCAGTGGGGATTTCTTCATCTCTTCTGTAAAGAACAGCAAGAGGTCAAGAGGTAATTTCCTCACTTATTTTGGAGATCCTATCTAAGTGAGTTTTTAAAATAACTTAAGTTCTCAAATAGGCATCACATCAGAATGTCATCATTATATATATATGTATGCATGTATTTCATGCACACACACATACACACACACACAGACACACACACACACACATCCCATGAGAGCAGATAAAAGCTTCCTGGCAATAAATCCACTCACACCAGTATTTTAGAATATCTCACCCAAGTAGAATATTTTACCCATGTAAGCTGGTGCCAGAGGTACCCCACCCAGCACCATTTGGTTGGAGGTGGCTGTGATCCTCTTCCTGTAGCTCACAGAATCCCTAATCATATTTTAGCTTTAGCTGCATAATTCCTTCTGTAAGCATATTACCTCCTAATAGATTCATGATGCCCTTTGCCCTGTTTCTATGCAGTAATCCTGAAAACATAACAAGGGTCCTAGACATGAACTGTGGAAGACGCTGAATAAGGACCGATGTGTCTACAGTTCAGCCTAGAAAGTAAGCTGTGTAGAAGAAAATAAATCAAAGAAATATGTTTTAGAGGGTCTGCCTTTTATGTTAAAGGAGCACTGTCTCTCCGGGAGTTTTTCTTCCATGCAAAAGCTTGGACATATGATTGCGAAGGACTATCTATTTCTACAATCTTGCTCACTCTCACTGGCTACAAGGATAGGGAAACCTTCAAAAACAGCAAAATACTGTGATACATCAGATTCTCCAAAGCCACAGCAAAAACACAGGGCTGTCTTTTTCTCAGTCCCTGCATCCAGCTGCTTTGAATTAATATCCACTTCTGAAACTCTGGCCTAGGAATGCACCATTGTTCTAACCAGATTTCACTATGGAAAATCTATTTCTGTTTAGTAAATTGTTTATTTGACAATGCAATTTAAGAGCTTCTCTCTAAAACTAGTGTTGAATCAATTACTCATTATGAGACAAATCCCTTTAAAATATCTTGTAAAGTATTTTCGAGCACTTATTTGGGATAACTGTTAACGGTATTTTGGAGACTATCTCCTAATAGCTAAGACTAAGTGGAGCAAATAAACATCATGACTTCTCATCTATTTTTAAAAGTCAGTCTAAAAATAGCAACTATTACCTCAAAGAGATAGTATTTCCATTGTAAACCAGACCATAAGCTATTCTTTCAATTCAATTAAATTTCCCATTCTGAGAAGAAAGACACTGCCTCTTACAGCAACATTACTACAGGGCAGAAAGATGTACAGAGCGTTGGCTTGTTTTACTTCCAATGAGTCAGTGCCACAGAATTTCGAGATACTATTCTAAAAAGTCCAGAATAACCCCCGCTGCCTAGGCTGGGTCACAGATGTCTTAGAATCAGATCTATACCACTTTTGTTGTCCAACAGGAAGACAGAATTTAAACTTGAGAATTTTTTGACAAACCCTTGGGAATCTCCCTCAGATAAATCCAAATAGGCCTAAGGATGTATGGCTTATACATGATTTCACTTCTTGGTAATCCTTTTTATTAGACAGAGTCTCACTCTGTCACCCAGGCTGGAGTGCAGTGGCGCGATCTCGGCTCACTGCAAGCTCCGCCTCCCGGGTTCAAGCGATTCTCCTGGCTCAGCCTCCTGAGTAGCTGGGACTACAGGCACCTGCCACCTCGCCCGGCTAGTTTTTGTATTTTTAGTAGAGACGGGTTTCACCATGTTGTCCAGGCTGGTCTCGAACTCCTGACCTCAAGTGATCTGCCTGCCTCAGCCTCCCAAAGTGCTGGGATTACAGATGTGAGCCACCATATCCGGCCCACTTCTTGGTAATTCTTAACATAGTCCATTCTCAACATCATTATGGAACTACGCCATACTGCCTAAAAGGTCAGAGTCACAGTTTCTAAATAAAGAAAATAATATTTTAGAAACTGAACTGTAGCCCAATATTTTGAAATTCTAATGGGTTTAAAGACAAAA